GAGGGCATTCCACAGGGCGGGTGCCACTACCGAGAAGGCCCTCTGCCTAGTTCCCCGTAACTTCGCTTCTCGCAGTGAAGGCCCTTGGAGCTGGACCTCAGTGCCTCTTCTGACATCTCTCTCTCTCCCCCCACGGCCAGGTGGAGTCTGAGTCCAACGTGCTCCAGGATGGCTCGCTCATTGACCTGTGCGGGGCCACCCTGCTGTGGCGGACCTCGGAGGGACTCCTGCGCACCCCAACCCTGCAGCAGCTGGAGGCCCTGCGCCAGGAGATCAACGCCGCCCGCCCCCAGTGCCCGGTGGGCTTCAGCACGCTGGCGTTCCCCAGCCTGGCGCAGCGGGGCGTGGTGGAGAAGAAGCAGCCCTGGGTCTACGTCAACTGTGGCCACGTCCACGGCTTCCACAACTGGGGCTTCCGCAAGGAGAAAGGGGGGCTGGAGCGTGAGTGCCCCATGTGCCGCCGCTCGGGGCCCTATGTGCCTCTCTGGCTGGGCTGCGAGGCGGGGCTGTACCTGGACGCCGGGCGCCCCACCCATGCCTTCTGCCCCTGCGGCCACGTTTGCTCGGCCAAGACTGTGCAGTACTGGGCGCAGATACCCCTGCCCCACGGCACCCACGCCTTCCACGCAGCCTGCCCCTTCTGTGGCACCTGGCTGACGGGCCAGCAGGGGTTTGTCCGCCTCATCTTCCAGGGGCCGCTCGACTGAGCTGGGGAGGGCGGGGGGCTGGCGGAGGGGAGGGGAGGGCGAGATGGAAAATAAACAGCAACATCTGAGAACAAGGTCCAGCTCTTGGAGGCGGGTGCTCTGCGTGTGTGGTTCAATGAAAGCATCATTTTGGTTCCCTGCCAATGGCTGCGAAACTTCCACCGTATGTAAGGATATCCCAGGCAATGCCAGTTCACAGATTTTTTTGGGGTGCGGTGGGGATGTTGTTGGGCAAGAAGCCCCTCAGTGAGCCCTCTCCCCCCCCCCCGAAACCTCTAGGGAAACAGGTCACCCTGCTGCAACTTCCTGTAGGAAAATGGTTCTCCCAGTCCCATTTTTTTATAAATACAAGTTTAGATATTTGCAATTCTTTCATTGTTTTAATACTTCAGGACCTATGGAACTCCCTGCTACAACAACTCCTTAATGCGACGCATTCCTATTCTCTCCAAGTGCTTTTAAGTCTTCCTAATAGGTATAATAGGCTGGGGGTGAGGAAGATGCCCCTCTTCATGCCATAGTCACCATGGTGCATTCACTTGCCCCTGACACCAATCCCAGCTGGATTTAGGGCAGAGCAGGCAGTTCCCCTGCCCTGGATGCTGAGCCAAAGAGGCTAATAATAATAATAATTATAATTATAATAATGTACCTATATTTATGTGGGCACCTACTTAGAAGATTAAAAAACCCTGTATCAAAAGGAATTATTGTGAAAATAAGAAATATTTAGGGTGGAGGGGCACCAAATTTTGTCCTTGCTCAGGGTGCCATATTACCAAAGTTTGCCCCTGCCAATATTCACCCAAAAAGAACGTGCAAAGGAAGCAGAGGCTGCACTTCTTTCTCTTTGCTCTTTTTTCACTGTTCCCACCAGAGGCTCAGGCAGCTGAAAAGCATGTGGGCAGCAGGGGGGGGGCACTGGAGGCTGGCGCTGGGCCCCCTTCCGGGCTGTGGGCTTGGCAGCTACCCAATTAGGATGAGGTGAAGGGCCATCCCACAGGGGCAGAGGAGCTGATTTGCGTTTAGATCTTTGATTCAATCCCTGATGACATCTCCAAGCAGGGCTAGGAGAGACTCCCTGCCAGAAACCCTGGACAGCTTGCTGCCAGTCAGTGTAGGCAATACTAAGGAAGATGGATTCACGATCTGACTTGGTCTAAGGCAGACACCACCAAGGTAGTACCCATAGGCAACTTAGTGCCCAGAGAGGCCTTTCCTGACACCCCCAGGGTCCCCCTTGCCCCCACTGAAATTAGGCTTTGAAGAAGTGTTCTGTTGTAGCCAATACAGCAGGTTGCAACCTATGCCTGGTCCCACAAGCCACAGGCCTCCAAGATGTTGGCAACCCCTGGTACAAAGCATGCTCTTTGTTAAACTGGCCCTTTGTTCTGAACTATGAGGACTGGAATCTTGCTTTATTTTTAAGGGCAGGTCCATAGCCCAGTGTGTGGGCACCTGCTATGCATGCAGACGGTCCCAGATTCAATCCCCAAAGGCATCTCCAGATAGGATTGGGACAGGCTCCATGCCTGAAACCCTGGAGAGCTGCTGCCAGTTGGTGTAGACCATACTGAGTTAGATGGATCAATGGCTTGGCTCAGTGTGTGGCAGTTTCCTATGTCCCTGATGCTCCAGCGCTGTGCCTGGCTCCCATCTGCTCACAGTGCCATGTCTTCGTCACATCCATGAATTGCTCTTTGGATCTGGTCAAAGGGACACTGCAGTTTGGGTTAAGGCCACTGCTATGGGTATGTATTTTCTCAGAAGATGATGGAGACCAGAGCTCAGTGGGAATAGACATTTTTTTGCATAAGGTTGCAGATACAGTCCTCTTATCATCATCAGTGAATGGGACTAGCTAGGAAAGATGTCCCTGCCTTTGAAAAACTATGGAAGCGCTGCTGCCAGTCAGAGCAGGCAGTACTGGGCTAGACAGATGGCTTGTAGTTGCATTTGGAAGGGCCCAGGTTTGATGTGCTAAAAAGGAGCAGGGATGAAGAAGCCCTTCCCACTTGCCTCCCTGCAGAGTAGCTGTCATTCAAACCTGTCAAACACAAACCTGGTATGTAAGGCAGTGTCATGTGTACCTCAGTGTCAGGTATTTGCTGGGGCCCACACCCCAGCAGGGGTCCACCGCTCATGCACACACCACCAAAGGATTTCTGACACTGTACTGCTGTTTAATTCCTGCCCTTTTTGAAGAAGGGGAGTAGAGCCTCAGGTCTGGGATCTGAATGTGGCCCTCGAGTTCTCTCGACCTGGCCCTTGAAACTTTCTCTAGGCAACATCCCTCCCTACCTGTTTCTACCTGTCTAGAATGCATCTTTGAACTCCTTTTAATGCTTCTTGCTTGGCTGGACCGAGGATTGACAGTACAGAAACTACCCTAGTGTACTGTAAAATTTCCATTTGTTGCTCTGCCCACTTTTCCCTCTGGCCCTGCCCACCAGTACCATGTGGCCCTCAGAAGCTTGTCCAAAAGGGTCTGTGGCCCTCTGGTGTGAAAAGGTTCCCCACTCCTGTTTTAAAGAATCCTGCACCAAATATTTCCTGTTTCTCCATATTAGAACATGCCATAATTTGTGTATTTGTTGCCTATGTTGGGGAATGTTTTAACATAAATCAGTTGTGGGTCAGGAGGGTAGCATGAAAAATCAGGAGTCTCCTCTGATGCTGTCACCTCATGCTCCAGGTGTTTCCAGACTACCTGTTTATTCAGCATTCATCCTGATTTATTTGCATGTTGTTGCCTCATAGTGAGTGCTATCACACTTACCAGCAGATTTCCTGGCTGTCTCTTATTGCAAAAAGTTTGCTCTCTGGGGCAAGTGGGTTTGTTGCACAACAGCTCTCCATCAACTGATAGCACATCCAAAATTTGCTGGTATGTAATTGACTCCCACCCCAAAATAGCCACAGCCTGGAACAGCCGTAGTTTCACAGTGTGGTACAGCATATGCTTTGCAGCACACAATAAACCCAGGCTTTAAAAGCCACCACAACAAATTTTACACGGTCACAGACCTGGTTAGAGCATCAAAATTGTACAATTTCTAATACAAGCTGAGTTAAACTACAGAGTTAGTTTATAGGTTCTCTGCTACAGAAAGGAGAAAGCTAGCAACTATTTTCTTTATTGTTTTGTTAAGTCAGTGAGTTGGCCTAACACCTTTCAAAAGCCCTTCCCGGATCTTTTAGCACAGGGGTCAGCAAACTTTTTCAGCAGGGGGCCGGCCAGTCCACTGTCCCTCAGAAGTTGTGGGGGGTCCAGAATATATTTTGAGGGGGAAAAAAATGAATTCCTATGCCCCACAAATAACCCAGAGATGCATTTTAAATAAAAGCACACATTCTACTCGTGCAAAACCACGCTGATTCCCAGACCGTCTGTGGGCTGGATTTAGAAGGCGATTGGGCCGGATCCAGCCCCCGGGCTTTAGTTTGCCTACCCATGTGTTAGGAGAGTGGGAGTAAGCAAGCTCTTTTGCTCATCTCATCTCTGTAAGAGTTGCATGCAAAAACATGTGCTCCCTCAGTTAAAAAAGCAGTAAGAGGTGAAAGACTCTTCTTTGCCTGCTGTTTTCTGCAACATGCCATTGGTGCGATAATAGTTCATTAGTGGTGGATCCACTATTATTAGCTGTATTGTGATGCTTACCTACTTATTGCAATCCAGAGGGACATAAGCCATAGCGTGACAAAAGCAGGACATACAGTCTCCTGGGCACACCCCACCTTAGAACATTTGTGGTATGAAAAGTTCAAGGATCTCAGGAGGAAGCTAAGGGTCATGCACTGATTGGAAACGAAGCTGTTCGTCTGCCCTGATACTTTTGCAGGTACAAACAGCATCGACAATGGGAAGGCGCGAAACCACTCCGGTACCATCACGAGAACAAATAATCATGAATGCACAATAAACAGAACGTCTGGAAGGGGCTTGATGTAAGCTTCCTGCAACTCCATTAAGAACCAACCAACCAAGGGTGGTGATAAAGCTGTAAGAGACCGACCACGCATTCCGATGTCTTTTTGGATGCAAGCAAAAAATCTACCTGCGCTCAGCAGGCTCACTTTCCACGCGGGTAAGCGTGCAGCTTAAAAAACAGAAAGGGCGGGGAAAGTGGGCAGGGCCATAGCTCTGCAGAAACGAACAAGCAAGCAGCAGCCGCCAATCGTTGGGAGAGGAGAAGAAGCAAGAGGCGGGACTCCGCTTTTCCAGCAACGTTGACGTCAGTCTTACCCCCCGAAAGGGCCTTGGGATTGGCTGGCTGGGCCACAGGGGCGTGTCTGACAGTGAAGCTATGAATGAGGGCGAGGAGGGGGCGGGGCAGGAAGTTGGAAGCAACGAGGGAGCAAGGAACAGGTGAGGAGGGTCTGGGGGGCCGGCGGGGCGCGGTGGGTCCAATCAATCCCATATGTCCAGGGTCTCCATATGGCCTCCTCTTGCCCCCCGGTCCAAGAACACAGCAGGAGGGCTGGCCGCCCGGGGATGGGCTAGATGACCCTTGGGGACCCTTCCAATTCTGTGATTCGCTCGCTGCTTCCCTCCCGCCCATCCCCGTCGCCTTCCTGGCTCCAAGGAGATGGGGAAGCGGCCGTGGCTGAGTGCTGAGTACTGTATCCGCCTTGCATGCGGAAAGTCGCTGGTTCAGTCCCCGGCGTTCCCGCCCGAAACCCTGCAGTGCTGCTGCCGGTCAGTGCGGGCTGTATAGACCTAGATGGAGCCGATGATCTGATCCGGAAGAAGAAGGCAGCTTCCTATGCCTGGAGAGCTGCTGAATGTCGGTGCAGGCAAGGCTGAGCGATAGGGCCGGGTGGCACAAAGCAAGTGGAGTGGGGGAATGCAGGCCTGGCGCCCATTGCAACCCTCCAGACTCGCTGTCCTGCACTGGAAACTCTCCAAGCTCCACCTCTCACTGGCTGTTCACACATACATGCACACACATAACACGTGTTTTTGCCTGATTGCACGGTGGCTGCATAGGATCACAGAGTTGGGAGAAACCCCAAGGAACATCTCGTACAACGCCCTGCAATGCAGGAATGTCAACTAAAGGCCGATTCAGCTTTGGTAGTGCTGCTTCCTTGCACAGTTGGTGAATGGGGGGGGAGGTGTTTCGGGCGGGGGGGCAATCTGAGTATGTGCAGAAACTAGCCTGCTGCAGAAAAGGCAAAAATTGCATTTGCCCATTTTTGCTTCCGGCAAATGGCCCTCAGAATTTTGTATGGAAGGGAATGTGGCCCTCTCATTAGAAAAGGTTCCCCAGGCCTTAATATAAGGCATAGCAAGTATAAGTCAGCTTCTATAGCTTTGAGGGTTTTCTTCCCTCCAACCAAGCAGTGCATAAATTTGATGAAATAAGTAAACAAAGGTTCGTGAATCTTTGGGAGGGGTTGCCGCTTGGTGAAAGACCATTGCTCAAGATAGCTCAGTTGGTAGAGCAGGGTTCCCCAGGGTCTCTAGCTGTTGTTGGGCTACAACTCCCAACCTCCAGGTATAGGTATATAAATTCAGTAAATAAAATCATCCCTAGCTAGCAGAACCAGTGGTCAGGGATGATGGGAATTGTAGTCCACAAGCAGCTGGAGACCCAAGTTTGGGAAACCCTGCAGTAGAGCCTGAGTTGTGGGTTCGAGCCCCACATTGGGCAAAAGATTCCTGCATTGCAGGGGGTTGGACTAGATGACCCTTGTGGTCCCTTCCAACTCTACGATTCTATGATTTTAGGTAGAATCCTAGAGTTGGAATAGACCACAAGGGCCATCGAGTCCAACCCCCTGCCAAGCAGGAAACACCATCAGAGCACTCCTGACATATGGTTGTCAAGCATCTGCTTAAAGACCTCCAAAGAAGGAGACTCCACCACACTCCTTGGCAGCAAATTCCACTGTCGAACAGCTCTTACTGTCAGGAAGTTCTTCCTAATGTTTAGGTGGAATCTTCTTTCTTGTAGTTTGGATCCATTGCTCCGTGTCCGCTTCTCTGGAGCAGCAGAAAACAACATTTCTCCGTCCTCTATATGACATCCTTTTATATATTTGAACATGGCTATCATATCACCCCTTAACCTCCTCTTCTCCAGGCTAAACATGCCCAGCTCCCTTAGCCGTTCCTCATAAGGCATCATTTTCAGGCCTTTGACCATTTTGGTTGCCCTCCTCTGGACACGTTCCTGGCTGCATCTTCCCAGCACCTCTAGTTTCCCAAGGACAGGAAGCATTAGATTAGCCTTTGCCAACTGGGTGTCCTCCAGATATTCTGAACTACAACTGAAGGGTGTTTTAGTCCGGAATGCCTTGAAGGCACCAGGATAGGGGGGCAAGAGGGACCACTGTTCCCTGCACAAAGCAGCAGCTCCAGGTAAGAAGGAAGGTTGTCATCCATCACCCTCAGCCCAGGTCAGAGCAGATGCTTGCAAAAGATCCCGGGTTCATTGTGTGGAGCTGGATAAACCAGTGGGCTGGTGAAAGTGGTTGCTTCTTTCTCTCTCCCCCCCCCCCCAGTGTTCAGTGTTTTGCATTTGGGAAGCAGTGCAGCAGTTGTGGAAAATTGGGTCAGAGGCTTAAGGCAGTGTTTCCCAACCTTTTTTGGGCAAAGGCACACTTGTTTCATGAAAAAAATCTCGAGGCACACCACCATTACAGCCCCGTGACGTCAGCGCGCAGCGTCACGCCGGGAGGGACGCACGAAAGTGTAAATTTCAATTTTTTCCCCTCCCCCTTGCCTTCCTTCTGTGCCAACCGCCAAAAAGCCAAGAAAAAAGCCAAGACTTTAGGGCAGCAGGTCGACACGGAAGAAGCTCCTACCTAAGGACAGGTGCGACGGCCGTGTCCTCTTCTGCCACACTTGGCAGCCCTGCCTCACGGTCGTGACTCCCACCCTGATTTCTCCCCGCAGGTCGAGCGGCACAGGCAGCCCAATGTGTCCAGCCCAGACACAAGCCCCGCTTCCCCACTCTAGATCCTGAATGCGACCAAGTGCTCTGGACTCCCGAGCAGGGTGGGAAAGAGGACTCGCATCTGGTAGCCTCCGGGCTCCTCGCCTGCTCGAGGGATGGCATTGCAGGCAAGCTGCCGGCCGTCGCCATCGCCGCCCCCTCATGCGAGTGGACCTGCCCGGAGTGGTGGGCCGGGGGAGGCTCGCTCTCTGTGGGGATGTGGCCCGCACGCGCGGCCCCGCTTCCTCCTGCCCAGGGCTGAGCTCCTTACCCGCGATCTCGGTCTCGCGCAAGCGGATCCCACTTATTCCGAAGCTCGCGCCACTAGCCGGGGCTCTCACACCGTGCCAGGGCGAGGCGGCGCGGCCCACTGACGTCATCGCGGCTCGCCGCCGCCCTCGACTTCCCTGTTCCCTCCCCTCCCTCAGGTCGCCGTGGTTACCGAGGACTGCAAGCTGCTCGGGCGAGCGTGGGGCATTAAGTGGGAGAAGGAAAATTAAAATTAAAACTCGCCTGAAGGCCGCCTCTCCGGATATCTTTCGAATTTTTTAATTTTTCCCGCGGCACACCAGGCAACGTCTCGCGGCACACTAGTGTGCCGCGGAACACTGGTTGGGAAACACTGGCTTAAGGGAACCCACAGCCCCCATGGTCTCTAATCCACCCCAACTTTACCCCAAGGGCCACAGATTCTTCTTTGACAGCCTTCTGAGGGCCATGTGCTGGTGGTGGGCGGGGCCAAAAGCAAAAGTAGGAGGAGCCACAAGTTGTAAACTTTTCTACAATAGGCTAGTTTCTAGAAACACACACACCTACACCTACCTCTCTGGCAGGAGGCATTGTCAGCAGTGTTCCAAGTTAGCCAGGCGCATTTTGCACCAGGCCAATTGCGACCAAGTTCAGATGCCTGGGTGCCAGGATGGCGCATGCCGTCTCCGCCATCTGGGGATTATTGGATCTGGACAGTTTTCACACACTAAAACCGCACCCTGTAGAATTCTATCAGTTATATTTAATCTGCACAATCGGAATGAATTCCAGGAACCAGAATGCTTTTTCTGTGCAGCCGGAGCAGGGGCAATGAACAATGTTTTAGTTAATTGTTGTAGCTTGTCTTCACTTATCCACCCCACTGCCCTGCTCTCAGTTTTGAAGAATACTCCTACATTAGGAACAGTCTGTGTCACCCTTAAGAAAAAGAGGTAGGAACTGGCCTGTGTGTGTGTGTGTGTGTGTGTGTGTGTGTGTGGACTGTCCCTGGATCAAGTGACTTTTCTTCTTTAAGTTCTCAGAGCTCTTAACCTAGCTCAAGGTTGTCATCTGAACTAGCCAGATGTTTAACTGATAATCAATCACAGCCAGTTCATCCTTTGAAAAATAAGACTTTCGAGCCGTCTTGCCCAAGACATTCCATTTTGGTGACTGTAACCTTGGTTTAAGAAGCCACTGGTGCCTAGCTTAGATGTCTGAGTTTCTAACACTGCCAGCCTGTGCAAATACTAGGCTAGATGGACCGACTTGGTGCAGGGCGGGTGCCCGCATTTCTGATGCAACATTCCACGCTCAAGGCGACAAAGAAAGCTAGCCAGCCCAGCCCATTTCCCCTTCCTCTTTTTCTAACAGCAGGAGCAGAGATTGAAATGGGATTGCACGGTCTTTGGAGGTTCACACTATGGTGGAGAGGAGCTTGTGAGGGCCCAGTGTGAGAGAGCACAGCCTGGTGGGGAGGGACCAGGAGATCCGGTGGGGCTGGGGTCCTCCAGTGTGGAGAGCCAGTGTGGTGTAGTGGTTAAGAGTGGTAGCCTCGTAATCTGGGGAACCGGGTTTGTGTCTCCGCTCCTCCACATGCAGCTGCTGGGTGACCTTGGGCTAGTCACACTTCTCTGAAGTCTCTCAGCCCCACTCACCTCACAGAGTGTTTGTTGTGGGGGAGGAAGGGAAAGGAGAATGTTAGCCGCTTTGAGACTCCTTAAAGGGAGTGAAAGGCGGGATATCAAATCCAAACTCTTCTTCTTCTTCCATGGCGGTGGAGCCTGGTGCAAGATGTGACCAGGACTGGCTCCAATTCAGTGGGATTCCTTTCCTGGGCTTTCTGTATTTCCCTTTGGCACCACTGTTTGACACATACCCAAACCCCTGTGGTATATGTACTTGTGATATTGTGCCATATGTTAGCCTTTGAGGCAGGGGTAGCCAACATGGCAATTTCCACATAGTCGCTGGACTCCAATTCCCATCAGCTCCCAAACAGAATGGCCAACGACAGTCAGGAAAATGGAAGGCGGAGTTCAAAAGCATCTTAAAGGCATTAGGTCTCATGTTCTCGGATGCATTTGGGGGTGGAGGGCTAAGCCTATGCTTGCTCGCTGTTTTGTGGCAAGCTGATGGGCCCCAAAGCAGTTTATGGAGCTGGCTGTGGTTTCTCATGGGCACTCTGCACATTCCCAGAGGCACTGCCGTCATTATTAATAGAATCATAGAATAGAATCATAGAATCATAGAATCATAGAGTTGGAAGAGACCACAAGGGCCATCGAGTCCAACCCCCTGCCAAGCAGGAAACACCATCAGAGCACTCCTGACATATGGTTGTCAAGCCTCTGCTTAAAGACCTCCAAAGAAGGAGACTCCACCACACTCCTTGGCAGCAAATTCCACTGTCGAACAGCTCTTACTGTCAGGAAGTTCTTCCTAATGTTTAGGTGGAATCTTCTTTCTTGTAGTTTGGATCCATTGCTCCGTGTCCGCTTCTCTGGAGCAGCAGAAAACAGCCTTTCTCCCTCCTCTATGTGACATCCTTTTATATATTTGAACATGGCTATCATATCACCCCTTAACCTCCTCTTCTCCAGGCTAAACATGCCCAGCTCCCTTAGCCGTTCCTCATAAGGCATCATTTCCAGGCCTTTGACCATTTTGGTTGCCCTCCTCTGGACACGTTCCAGTTTGTCAGTGTCCTTCTTGAACTGTGGTGCCCAGAACTGGACACAGTACTCCAGGTGAGGTCTGACCAGAGCAGAATACAGTGGCACTATTACTTCCCTTGATCTAGATGCTATACTCCTATTGATGAGGCCCAGAATTGCATTGGCTTTTTAGCTGCCGCGTCACACTGTTGGCTCATGTCAAGTTTGTGGTCAACCAAGACTCCTAGATCCTTTTCACATGTACTGCTCTCAAGCCAGGTGTCACCCATCTTGTATTTGTGCCTCTCATTTTTTTTGCCCAAGTGCAATACTTTACATTTCTCCCTGTTAAAATTCATCTTGTTTGTTTTGGCCCAGTTCTCTAATCTGTCAAGGTCGTTTTGAAGTGTGATCCTGTCCTCTGGGGTGTTAGCCACCCCTCCCAGTTTGGTGTCATCTGCAAATTTGATCAGGATGCCCTTGAGTCCATCATCCAAGTCGTTGATAAAGATGTTGAATAAGACCGGGCCCAAGACAGAACCCTGTGGCACCCCACTAGTCACTCTTCTAATAATAACCTTTAGAGCAGGGGTCAGCAACCTTTAAATAGCCATGGGCTGGTCCATGGTCCCTCAGACCATGTGGTGGGCCAGACTATTTTTTTTTTGGGGGGGTGAACGAATTCCTATGCCCCACAAATAACCCAGAGATGCATTTTAAATAAAAGGACACATTCTACTCATGTAAAAACACGCTGATTCCTGGACTGTCCGCGGGCCGGATTGAGAAGGCGATTGGGCCGCATCCGGCCCCTGGGCCTTAGGTTGCCTACCCCTGCTTTAGACCTTGCAAATGCGATTTATGTGCACAGTCTGAACAGCACCATGTTGACCATCTGTGCTTGAGGTTCTACAGAAAACTCCTTTTTATTCAGAGTGGTAGATTTTGTGCATCCTTTTTACCTGTCCCAAAGACTCGGATTGGCTAGAAACACTTGTTTGAAAAACGTAAGTTGAGTGACTTAAGAGGAGAGAGTATTGTGGACTTTAGGGGAGGGACAATGGGGCTACAGTTGTTTATTTTTAAATCTGGACCAATCACAGATGTGGGGAAAGGACTTAGGGGCGGGCCTTAGTTTCCCAGCAGCTAGACATCAGTTCTTCTCAGGGAGGCTCGGGGATTGGCTGCCTGTATCGCAGGGGCATTTCCCCATGTTCGAAGCTATGAATGGGGGAAAGAAGGGGGCGTGTCAGGAAGTTGGAGGCAGCTAGAAAGAGAAGCAGGTGAGCTGCTGGTGTTGCAGAAGGGCGGTGGCAGGGACTGGCTATAAGCTGGGAGGAGGGAGGCTGTGGGTCAGTGGCAATATGAATGAGCTTCCAGGATTGAGCTTTGCATGTAATTGTGAATTAGTGGGTAGATGTATCTGCCTTGTCAGTGGTGGAAAAGGTCCAGTTTGAAGACTGGGTGGTGAGATCTGACTGCAGAGGTTCTTGTGAACACATGAAACTCCTGCATGCTAATCCGGGCACTGGGTGGAAAGCTGTCTGTGGACAAACGCCGGCTCCCTCGGCCTGAAAGTGAAATGAGCGCCACAACCCCATAGTCGCCTTTGACTGGACTTAACCATCCAGGGGTCCTTTACCTTTTACCTTTACCTTTTACTTTTATCCTTCATTGGAGGTTTTTAAGCAGAGGTTGAACGGCCTTCTGTCATAGATGATCTAGCTGAGATTCCTGTATTGAAGGGGTCCCTTCCAACTCTATAATATTACTTCTTCTTCTTCATTATTATTATTATTATTATTATTATTATTATTATTATTATTATCATCATCATCTATAATGAATTTCATTCATTCATTCTGCCTGCTTTAGGTTTGATGTCTTCAATGCAACTTCAAGTTCGTTCGTTAGCACTGAAGGGTTAGTTCTGTATTAATGGCTCTTTCTCTTTCTCTCTCTCCCCAGTTTGGCAGGATGGTGGATCCCCAGTATGTTCTGCCCAATGATATTGGCGTCGCAATGCTGGACTGTGCCGAAGCCTTCCACCTCTTATCTGCGGAGGAAAGGCTGTACGCTCACTACCTGTCGCGGGCCTGTTGGTACGGGGGGCTGGTGGTGCTGCAGCAGACCTCCCCAGAAGCGCCTGCCATCTTTGCCCTCCTCTCACGGCTCTTTCGGTCCCAGGACCCGACTCAGTTAGGCGAGGTGGCGCACTCGCTCGGCCTCTCAGACGAGGAGTATCAGGTACTAGAGACAGCATGTGTCCTGCGAGGTTTGTCCATCCGGTTCTCTTCCACATTCTGGCTACTCAGCTGTGTTTGGATGATCACATTTACCGTATTTTTCGCTCTATAAGACGCACGAGACCACAAGACGCACCTAGTTTTTGGAGGAGGAAAACAGCAAAAAAAATATTCTGAATCTCAGAAGCCAGAACAGCAAGAGGGATCGCTGTGCAGTGAAAGCAGCAATCCCTCTTGCTGTTCTGGCTTCTGGGATAGCTGCGCAGCCTGCATTCGCTCCATAAGATGCACACACATTTCCCCTTACTTTTTAGGAGGGAAAAAGTGAGTCTTATAGAGCAAAAAATACGGTACTTAGCCAAGAACTGCACAAGCTCCTCGCCCTCCTCCTCAGCCCCCTTTCTTTGCTCTTCCTTTGAGCCGCAGTTAAAGCATGAAGCGTCCATCGTAGCTCCCCGTTGTGTACGAACCAAGAAACTATGGTTGCCAGCTTCAGAACAAGCCTTGGTTAGAAGTCGGTTTATTGTATTTTTCGCTTCATAAGACAGCACTTTTTTCATTCTACAAAGTAAGGGGAAATGTGTGTGCATCTTATGGAGCGAATGCAGGCTGTGCAGCTATCGCTGAAGCCAGCACAGCAAGAGGGAGAGCTGCGCAGCGCCTCTTGGTCTGCTGGCTTCCCAGCGAAGCAGGATGAGGGATGGAAGGGGCTCCATAAGGGCTCCCTTCTGTCCCTCATCCTGCTTCCCTGGGAAGGCAGCACAACAAGAGGCGCTGCGCAGCTCTCCCTCTTGATGTGCTGGCTTCAGCGATAGCTGCGCAGCTTGCTCTGACTTTTCAGGGAGGTGGGAGAAGGGACGGAGGGCAGCCCATCAGTCCCTTCTCCCACCTCCCAGAAAAGCCAGCAAGAGCCGCTCTATCTTTAAAGAGCCACGCCTTTTGCTGGCTTTTCTTGTTTTCCTCCTCTAAAACTAGGTGCGCCTTATGGTCAGGTGCGTCTTATGGAGCGAAAAATACGGCAGTTTTCTGGCTCATGACAAAGTGTTAATCATTGTTTCTTGAGTCGGACCCACAGGAAACTGTGGTTAGTTAGAGGCTTCCTGCCCCAAAGGGAGGAGCGAAGGGCGCTATGCCAAAAACTCCTGCATATCTAGATTTAGCAAGCCACATTGTGAGCATCTGAACGGACTGTGTCTGTTGTGTTTGGAACGTTCTGCTGGCCTTCTCTGAAAAGAGATGTTGTAAAAAGCCTGGAGGGGTCTGGAGAACCGTTCCTATGAATTAAGCACATGAAACTTGTGCTTTTTAGTTTAGGGGGAAATGGTGAGATGAGGGTGGGGGTACATAGTAGAGAAATTTACACCCGAAAGTTCTCAGGACTTTTTGATGGGAAAACAAATCGTGATGCCCAGCTCAGGCATGGCACTAAACTGGAAAAAGAGCAGGATCTGGGGGCCAAATGCGGCCCTCCAGGCCTTTTTGTCTGGCCCCTGCAACTCTTCCCCAGGCCGCTCCCCTCATTGGCCTTGTTTCACATCCTCCTTGAGTGTTTTTGCTGGAGTGGAGTATCCTCTTCCACTCTGATAATGCCTCCTGCTCGCTGGGATGGAGGATAGAGAGGGGCATATGAGTGAATGTCTATAATCTGGGCTACTCTTTGTTATTGTACGTCATAATGTACTTCTGACTGGTGATGTTAAATTCTCGGTAATAATCTTTTGGAGAATATTCTCAAGAATATTCTCCAAAAGATTATTCTTGAGAATTTAACATCACTATTTGTGACCGCTCTGGCATTCATTCTCTCATAACTCAGTCTACAAGTTAAAATAGGGACTGTTTCATTTAATGTAAGTGCTATATGTCCATACGTAGCCAAATTGGTACATCTATTGCAGATGTAATATTTTTTTGCATTAAAAAAAATCCATAAAAAACCAAATTAAAAGAAGAAGAAAGTGGGCTTCTGTGGAAAGGTAAAACTCACATTCGTTGCTCCACCCACTTTTGTCTATGACTCTGCCTACCAATGGCACGTGGCTCCCAAAAGGTTGCCCAGAAGGGAATGTGGACCTCAGGCTGAAAAATGATTCCCACTCTTGGAACAGATTTTTAACAACATCTGGAGAGCCGAAAGGCTAGATAAAATTGGTTTAGTGGGGAGTTTCTAGAACTGGGCTAATTTGCCTGCAGGCGGACTGTATCCTTTGTCTGAAGGTAGTTATATGGTCTCTCTGGTTTTATAGCTTCCCAATTCCAGGTTTGTAAAAAAAAATATATATTTTTTTTGAGGGGTGGGATTTTAAAAAATATGGCTAAGGGGGAGGGAGAGGCTCTCACGACTGTTGCTGCTTGCAGGCCTTCCTGGTTTACGCTGCCGCCTTCTATGCCAACATGGGCAACTACAAATCCTTCGGGGACACCAAATTTGTGCCCAACCTTCCGAAGGTGAGTACAAGGTTTGCAGGTGTCTAGAGTGGGCAGTGTTAGAAACTGAGACAAGAAAGCTAGGAGCTAAATGGCTCCTTAAACCTAGGTTATGGGCGCCGCAATGGAATGGAATGGAATTTTTGTAACAAGAATACAAAGCCGAAAATGAATGAACTGCCAGTAATATCCTGTGTTCATTTTTCACATGGTCTAGTCCTCATCTTAAGACTGCAAAAAAAGGGGGGAAAGCCATACATCCCCTGCCCACCCTCCTAATATTCTTAAGAGGGTCTCTTCTCCAGTCTTCAGATTGCAGCTGGAAGTTGGGAGGCAGAAAAAGGTCCTCCTTTCCTTCCGGCAGTGGAAGTTTTAATCTGAAATCTTAGTACTGCACCCAGAGCTCAGAAACTTTTCGCATTAATGAAATTCCCTGTCGCAAAGTGCGCCTAGAACAATGGGAGTTTTTGAACGCTGGTGGTGCGATAGGACATCTATGAGAGGGAGGGGCCATTTATCTTTCCCAGCTAATTGGAATGCTCCTTTTATCTCACTGGTTGAGAGGTTGCGGAGGGGGCGGAGTCTCTCCTACGGATAGGTTGAGGCTCCATATCAACCTTTCTCACCCTTGGGACCCCAGAGGTTATCGGACTACAACTCCCATCATCCCTAGCTAGGAGGACCAGTGGCCAGGGATGATGGGAGTTGTATTTTGGGGGCTCAAGGTTGAGCGAGGAGGCTCCGTATGGTTCTGCTGGCATGCCACTGGTAATCCTTTCATTTTTGCCTTCCTGCCCTCAGGAGAAGCTGAAGCAGCTGGTGTGGGCGAGCCAGGCGTTTGCGGACCACCCAAAAGAGATGGAGGCCCTGTGGGGCCGCTGTGCAGAGCGCATGTTCTCCCTAGAGCCGACACAAAAGCACTTGGGGCTCTGTGGCCAGGTACACCTCCCTTTTGCCTGGCTAGAATGTGCCCTGATAATGCTTCTTGTTTGCCATGATGGAGGCTGGAGAGGGGTGTTTGTGTTTGTAGAAACTAGCCTCCTGTGCAAAGGTAAAATTTACATTCATTGCTCCACCCTCTATTCCCCTGGCCAACCACTGCCATGTTGCCTCCAGAAGTTTATTCAGAAGGGACTGGGGCCCATGGGCTGCTTCCCCATCTCTGGAGCAGAGAGCCAAGCTCAACCCATCCGCATGCTCAGTTCTGGGGGGAAGTTAGCAAGTATCGCTTGATAATAATAATTTTATTATTTATATACTGCCTAGCTGACTGGGTTGCCTCAGTCGCTCTGGGTGGCTCCCAACAAAATATTACGAACACAATAAAAGGTCAACCATTTAAAAACTTCCCTGTACTGGGAAGTATTCTATAAGACAAATAGTTGTTTAGCTCCTTGACATCTGATGGGAGGGCGTTCCACAGGGCGGGTGACACTACCAAGGAGGCCTGTTCCTTGTCACCTCACTTCTCGCAGTGAGGGAACTGCCAGAAGGCCCTCAGAGCTGGACCTCAGTGTCCGGGCTGGAGGATAGGGGTAGAGACACTTCTTCAGGTATACTGGGCCATTTAGGACTTTGAAGGTCAGCACTAACATTTTGAATTTGCTCAGAAATGTACTGGGAGCCAATATAGGTCTTTCAGAACCGGTGTTACATGGTCCCGTTGGCCATTCCCAGTCACCAGTCTGGCAGCCACGTTCTGGATTAGTTGTAGTTTCTGAGTCACCTTCAAAGGTAGCCCCACGTAGAGCACATTGCAGTAGTCCAAGTGGTTTTTTTTGGGGGGGGGTTGTCCTGTTGCCCAGGGCAACTCCAAGGACAGGTGCATCCTGCTTATTCCGTGTTTCCTCTCTCTTCTCTCTAGGGCACATCTACTTACTTCTCTGCAAACTGCACCACGGAAGATGCAAAGCTGGCCCAGGACTTCCTTGATTCTGAGGTGCTGCAAGAACCCCACTTCTACACTGGGTTGAGCAGCCTAGATGGGCAACTAGTCTGACATAGTATAAGGCAGCTTCCTGTCCCCCATATCATGTCCTCTGCCCAGTGGGCACACTGTTTACATCAAGGGAATGGGCCTTATCGGGGCACCAGAGCTGGGCACTGCATGCAGTGTCGCCCCCTGGTCAGTCCTTGGCATCTCACAGTAGGGTTGAGAAAAACCCCCATTTCAAACCTTGCGGGGCTCGATGGACAAATAACCTGACCAGGTGTAAGGCAGCTTCTTTGTTCGCCTGCTATAGAGGGATGTACCCTTGGGAAGAACCCCAGGTAGCAGGTGATGGGAAAGACCTTTCTCTGCCTGAGGACCCCAGACAATAGGGCAGCTTGTTTTGCTTTTCACGGCTCCATCCTCTCACTTTCTTTTACTCTTTCCCCAGAACATCAGTGCTTACAACACAAGGCTTTTTAAGACGAAGGTAGATGACAAAGTGAATTATGAGGTTCGTCTGGCTTCGGTGCTTTCAGATGGTAAGAGCGGTTTTTTTGGGTCGCATAGACCAGCCTTCTCCCCAACCCCACTCCTGGCATGCTCACAGCACTCCCTGCTTAGGGCCCGTGATTGCGTTGTTGTTGTTTTTCATAGACCACCTTTCTCTTCCAGGTAATAGTCCAGCACTCTAACCATTATGCCACACTTGCTCTCTAATAGCATTCCCAGATTACAATAAGCACATGAAATAATTTGAACCTTTTGAAAGGCACAGTTTGAAAATACCTGTCTGGCAGTGCTTTCTCAGAGAAGAAGATGAGTCCTCCATGATTGTAAAGCAACCCATCAGTTAACTCACCTGGGGAATATCCTCCACGTAACCAGGTCGGAGGAACTTCTCTAAACTTGGAAGTTTTCCTTTGCCAGTACTTGTTGAAGTCAGTGGTGCTGACACAGGGCAGGTATCTTAAGGTGCGGCTGCAATTGCAATACTGTGTGCTGCAGTTGCAGTTCTCTAGTTGCCTTGCCTCCGATAGGAAGCTGTGGAGCGGGAGAAAACATTAAATAAAAGGGAAATTGAAATGTTCAAGGGGTTGGCGCAGTTCCCTTGTTGATGGTTACAGCATTTAGGACTTTTAGTTCAGAAAAAAAGCGGAAACACGATAGAGGTGAAAATGATTGTGCATGGTGTGAAAAAAGTGGAGGTTGTGTTATCTCTCATTATTACTGGAACTCGGAACGGCCCAGTGAAGCTGAATGTCTAAAGATTTGGGGCAGGCGAGAGGAAAATACTTCTTCACACAATGTGTGGCTTTGGAGGGTTACAGTTAAGTGGCATATACATTTTACAAAATAAAATTAATAAATGAATAGTTGAAACTATGGCATTTGCTCCCACAGGAGGCAGGGATGGCCACCAACTTGGATGACTTTAAAAAAGAGAGCAGACAAATTTGCAGAGGGTGTTCTGCCTCCCCTGCTGGAGCCAGGATGCCTCTGAATGCCAGTCGCTAGGAGTCACAAGTGTGGAGAGTTGCTGTTGCGCTCATGCCCTCTGTGTGGCCTGTATGGCCACTGTGAGGAGGAGAGCAGGCTGGAGCAAATAGGCCTTTGGCCTACTCCAGCAGGGCCCTTCTTGTGTACTCACTTGCAAACTGGAAACACAGGCAGCTTCTGCCAAGGGGGGGGGGGCCTGCCCTCGGCTGCGCAGCCTTGTTTAATCCACGCTTGGGACTTCCTGCACACGCCCCCCCCTCCGTGCACCCTCACAGCCCTTGCAAAGTTTACCTTCCTCCCCTCTTCCACCCAGATTCTCAGCTTGACGCTGACATGTCGGCCAAGATTAAATGTTTTGAGTTTGGCGGCTGCTTCTTCACTGTGACACGAGGAGATTACTCCCCGCTTCTGGAGAAGGTTGTGGAGAACTTGAAGAAAGCCCAGGTGAGGGGGAAGGGGGTGGGCTTTCCTGGCTCACCGTGGACTGTCCCTGTGATGGGGAGTGGAGGCAGGGAACTGAGACCCCAGTGCAGGATTTTAAGCACTGCTTCAGGTTACAGGCAGGGAACATATGTGGCATGTTCATCATTTTTGGTGGCAGCTGTACCTTTAGCAACACGTGTGACCCTAAGTCTTCAGCATGCATTGGCCTGTTCTCTTCGAAGCGTATCCATGAGGTCTAGAGACCTGTTGTTGCTGTTGTCATTTATTAAATTTACATACTGTCCTATTCCCACAGTCCTCAGGGCAGTTCACAACATAAAATCTCAATATGAAAACAGAAAATACAGTGGTGCCTCAGGTTACAGACACTTCAGGTTACAGACTCCGCTAACCCAGAAATAGTACCTCGGGTTAAGAACTTTGCTTCAGGATGAGAACAGAAATCGCACGACAGTGGTGCGGCAGCAGGAGGAGGCCCCATCAGCTAAAGTGGTGCTTCAGGTTAAGAACAGTTTCAGGTTAAGGACGGACCTCCAGAACGAATTAAGTTCTTAACCCAAGGTATCACTGTACATAACAAAAACAACTCAGTAATTTCCCCTCCCCAATATATTTTAAAAGGGCATTGGATTTCAGTCAGTCCAAGGCCTGGTTGAAGAGGAACGTTTTTGCCTGGTGCTTAAAGGTGTATAATGAAAGTGCCAGGCAAATTTCCCAGAGGAGAGCATTCCACAGAGGGGGACCCACTGCAGAGAAGGCCTGTTTTTGTGTTGCCACCCTCCAGACCTCTCAAAGAGGAGGCACATGAAGAAGGGCCTCAGAGAATGATCTCAGGGACTGGATAGGTTCATATGGAAAGACTCAGCCCTTGAGTATTGTTGTATAAACCACAGCTGAGATTATCCAGAAGTTGAATGCTGTGGCCACTGCTGACCTGTTCCATTTGACATCTTTCCTTAAAAAAATAAAATAAAATAAAAAGATCAAGGCATATGAGCAGCTGCGTTCTAGGGGGTGGTGGTGAGAATCGAGGGCTGGGCGAATCTGCCTCAGGCTGGTTGGGCCTGAGTCCAGACCCTCTCCTCTTTCCCTGCTAGCGACACGCAGCCAACCCCACGCAGGCGGAAATGCTGTCTCACTACATCGCCAGTTTCACGCAAGGCTCCATCGTGGCCCACAAGGAAGGCTCCCGCTGCTGGATTCGCGACAAGGGGCCCATCGTGGAGAGGTGAGTCTGGGGGGCTGCGCAGATCAGTGGAGTCTCTTAAACCAGATTCAGGGTGTGTTCTGAATGAATGCTGCTTCCCAGGAACTGGGAAAATAGGGAGTGTTACCCCACCCTCCCTTGTTGATTGGGGGGAAGAGTAACAGTTGCCCTAGGTATAGCTAAAGAACCTCTCTCTCCCCACCATTTATTTATTTATTCATTTGTGTCCACAGCTATATAGGCTTCATCGAAAGCTACCGAGATCCCTATGGTTCCCGTGGGGAATTTGAAGGTACTGTATTAGCTCAACGTCCCCATTCCCCACCTGCGCGTAGTACGATCTCACGCCAGTCGTTGACCATTCGATGCCCTCTTTTGCTTTCCCCGTCTCTCCCCACCCCTGCCCTGAAGCTCCCTCAGTATAACGATAACAATCATTAAAGTTCCCAGCATTATTGTCCTCCCACCCTTGCCTCCCCTCAACCCCCCCCCCCAAGACACAAATTATATTTGTTGGAAGCAGCCCAGAGTGGCTGGAGCAACCCAGTCTGATGGGTGGGGTACACCTGCCTGTGCAGGGGGAAGTTTGGGGTCTGGGCTATTGGGTTAGCCTTAACCTGGAGACAGGGCAACCTCAGATTCAAGGGCCAAGTGCCTCTCTGTCTGGCCCTTGAGGTTCACCCTCCCCAGCTCTCGGCCCTTGCTAGCCCTGAATTGCACCTTCCTTGAATGTTTTTGCCTGGCTGGAACCCGTCCATGCACTCTGCTAATGCCTCCTGCTTGCCTGGAGGGAGGGCAAAGAGGGGTGAGTGTGCACATAAACTAGCTTGCTGTACAAAGGTAACTTTTACGTCCATTGCTCTGCCCACTTTTGCCCCTGGCCCTGACTGCCCCAGCATGTGCTCCCCCCCAAAGGGAAAGCAGCCCTCTGGCCAAAAATGTTTCCCCGCCCCTCTCTCAGCGCATCACCCTGCTCTGGGTGGAGGCAGGGTTGGAGACTTGGGGAGGATGCCATCTCCACATCCAGTGAGATTCTTTGTTTCGCCCCAGAAGGGGGACATACGGGCCGCTCTCTCTTTCGAAGAGACCATAGAATCATAGAACTGCATGAATCTTTTGCCCAACGCAGGGCTCGAACCCACCGCCCTGAGCTTAAGAGTCTCACACTCTGCCAACCGAGCTATCCACAGATTGTCACACCAAAAGTCTTTTCTGCTCTTGCAAGTAGAATTTGGGGACTATTTCATAGGCTTGGCCTATGGGGAGACAGCAGCCAAGAGACATGTTGGTGAGATGATCGTAGAATTGTAGAGCTGGAAGTGACCCCAAGGGTATACTAGTCCACCCCCCTGCAATGCAGGAATGGGGGTGGGGCCAGAAATGGAGGCCCTTAAGACTGGGCTTCCTCACAGTGCCTCTCCACCCTTCCCCCCCACCAGGCTTCGTTGCGGTTGTGAACAAGGCCATGAGTGCGAAGTTCGCTCGTCTTGTGGCGGCGGCTGAGCGGTTGCTGGAGGAGCTGCCATGGCCTCGCGCCTTCGAGAAAGACACCTTCCTGAAGCCCGACTTCACCTCGCTTGACGTGCTGACCTTTGCCGGGAGCGGGATCCCTGCCGGCATCAACATCCCAAATTGTGAGGATCTGGTCGGTGGCAGGTTTGGGGGGAAGGTGGCAGGCCGTGGGGTAGGGCTGGGACTTGGTGGTCAAGGATCTCCCTTTGGCATACAGAAGGTGCCACGTCAAATCCCTAGTATTTCCAGGCGGGGAGGGGGAGACCTTGAAGAGTCGCTTCCTGCTCAGATGGACACAGTACAGTGGTACCTCAGGTTACAAATGCTTCAGGTTACAAACACTTTGTGTTACAGTGTTTGGAAGTAGTACCTCGGATTAAGAACTTTACCTGAGGATGAGAACAGAAATCACGCAGCGGCAGCGGGAGGCCCCATTATCTAAAGTGCTACCTCAGGTTAAGAAAGGTTTCAGGTTTAGAACGGACCTCCAGAACGAATTAAGTTCTTAAACAGAGGTACCACTGTACAAATAATAAAATTGTTGTTATCCTACCTTGACAAGATGGCAGCAGGAGAGACTCCAGAAGTGTTGCCTTGAAGTGCTGCTCACAGGGCTGGCGAAACGCTCATTTTCTCCCTTCCCTGCCATTGACGGGGCCTGTAAAAAGGACTATGAAAATACAAAAAAAGGGGTGGGAGAGGAGGAAAGACTCCAGGGTGAGATCAAGGGGCCCAAAGCAGCCCAGTGAGAACAAAGCATGTTCCATGACTAAGGGACGGTAGGGTGGGGGGCAGGATGGAATGGAGTATCCTGGAACAGGGCCAAATTAAATTCTTGGCCAGCGGCATGGCTTCCTAAATTGGACTATCGTCGCTGGGGAAACAAAATACAAAAGTGTGCCGGAAGGAATAGAGTGACAAGAGGAGCTGGTGAGAAGCCGGTAGGAACATAACCCCTGTCCTAGCACAGGCCTAAACATTGCTAGAATAACAGGACCAGGGATTGCCGTTTGGTAAGTGAATAGGAAGAGGAAGCGAAAGTCGCTGACGACCCAAGTAGGGCGATTGAATCTGCGCTAGCCCTTGATGAACAGCAGTGAAATAACTGCTCAAAGGTGCTGTTTGAAGCATCTTGTGTGCTTCCTTGTGGGCATTGGTGGGGTGGAAGGAGTCTCCTCCCAGTGAGAGAAGCACTTGCTGTTTCAAATAGCCCCTTTGAAAGGCGCTTTAAGGCAGCCCCTGTGATCCTGATGCGAAGGGTGGTTGATCCTGCTAAGCACGAGGCTGGAGTTCATGGGAGAGCTCAGCACACCCCCAGCTCAGCACTAAGCAGGATTACCTCCCGCCCATGAGGAGGAAGAGCGATCCCACTTGACCCGGGTGTCAGCAAGTGGGCTTCCCTGCTCTGCAGTGTCGCTTGCAAAACATCGCTTTTTCTCCCGGCCTTTTGAGTCATTGGGGGGGGGGGCGGGAGCAAAGCCTGTGATTTGCGAACCAGATGTGCAAAGTAGAGAAGCTCTAGCCCCGCAGAACCCAGTTTTAGCAGATCCTGCCTGTTTCTCCCCCTTTCCCAGATGATGACATCCGCCAGACGGATGGCTTCAAGAACGTCTCGCTGGGGAATGTGCTGGCCGTGGCCTACTCCACGCAGAAGGAGAAGCTGACGTTCCTGGCAGAAGAGGACAAGGTGTGTGTGTGTGCCTGGGGGAGGGGGTGTATTTTTGCGGAGGGGCAGGGAAAATGGGGTGGGGGGTTGTTGCAGGAGTGGGGCGTGCAAGGATTCTTCGCTGATTTTTAATGCATTTTAAAAAACGCTTGTCCCAAACTCTGGGGGGGAGTAATGAAACAGCCAGCTTTATTTATTTACAAATCCTCTTGCAGGATCTCTATATCCAGTGGAAGGGGCCTTCCTTTGAGGTTCAAGTTGGACTCCATGAACTCCTGGGTCACGGCAGCGGGAAGCTCTTTGTCCAGGTGGGCACCTAACCCCTCCCCCCAAAAAACAAGCTTTTGAGGATATCCAAAGCAGAAGAAATTTGGGTGTCAGAGGACAGAAGCCATTTCAGCCTGTGTTCCACAGTTTCAGGAAGGCAGATGAAAGAGGGAAACCTTGTATTATGTCCCTTAATGTATTCCATGTGTGGGCTCCCCAGCTAGGAAAAAAGACAAAAGTTTTTGCTTTTCCTTTGGCCAGTTTCATATTGCACGCCAATTTACCTGCAAGTGCAGCATGCAAAAGTCTCCGGGGCGATTCCTCAAAATTTAAGTTGACCGCCAGCTTCCAGGATTTTGCCCATTTCTCATCGAGCAGCCCATTACATGAAAGCCATTGACGTTTTATATACCGATTCCTCATGACCCCCTTTCCATGCTCATTGGGAATAAGAAGAACCAATGGACTTTACAGTATTCATTCATTTAAATATCAAATTCCAATATGCAGCTATTCTCAGGGAATCCCAGCATATCTGTATGAAAGATCCTTGTTGCCCACATTCCCTCCAACAATAATTGCTTCTGTCCTTCATTATGAGCAGCCTCAGTTTTTGAGCACTCTCTCTTTTGTCCTGGCAGGATGACTCGGGGGCCTTCAACTTTGACCACGAGGCAGTGATCAACCCAGAAACGGGAGAACAGGTAAAGCCTTCACATGTTTCCTGTGAGGATTAGAAGGGCCTGTGACTTCTTAAAGAAGTCCCCCCCCCTTGTTTATTGTCCTTTGCACCACTTGGGCAGTTCCTGCATGAGACCTAGAGTTCAGTGTCCTTTGAATCACAAGTTAGTTCTCTTTTTAAAGAAATAGGAAAAAAGGGCACCCCAGGTTTCTAGCCCTCATGGTGGAACAGATGAGTTGGAAAGCACATGTGTGCTTAAGTTCTAAATTCCGGAATAGAACTTGGGAGGATTTTTGTGGCGGTGGAGGAAATCAGCCCCCTGTGTAGCTCATGGCCCTTCCCTGTAACCAATAGATGCAGAATAAATTATAATGATTTGTATATCTTACACTGATATACAGTGGTACCTCAGTTGTTGAACGCAATCCGTTCCGGGAGACCGTCTGACTTCCAAAATGTTCAGTAACCGAGGTGCAAAGGGCGGCCTGCAAAACCAATAGATAAAATTGGGGGGGGGGACGCAGTGGAAGCCATTCAACTTCTGAGGCGCGTTGGAAAATGGAAGCATTTACTTCTGGGTTTCCGGCGTTCAAAAACTGAAACGTTTAGCTTCTGAGACGCTCGAAAAGCGAGGTACCACTGTATTATTCTACAATATAGAATGTGGTTTTTCGCTTCCTCTCTGTGGGATCAGCATTTTTGCCCCTTAAGGTGCAGAATTCATGTGACAGCTATTTTATTTTAAAAAACCTAACCCTACTTTTTAGCCAAAAATGCTGGAAGAGCAACTTTAAAAGAACAACAACAACAACCCATAGCCTCAGGCTTAAAAACTAGCAGGCACGACACACAAGGAAGAAGGGAGGAGGAGGGAGGAGGGGGAAAGCAAGCCCATAGCTCTGTTTTATGCAGATTCTGGCTGACTTAGAGAATCAACCCCCGCCCACCGATCTGGTCCAGAGCAGAGCAGGTGACCATTTAAGATCAGGAGGACAGGGCTGCTCCTTCCCTCAGACAGCTGACTCAGTTCACTTGTCCAAGACACCTGCAGCTGTCTGGCCCTTCACTCTTCTCCTATCCCCATAGATTAGAAGCTGGTACCGAGGCGGTGAGACATGGGACAGCAAGTTTTCGAACGTTGCATCGAGTTACGAGGAGTGTCGGGCCGAGTGTGTGGGGCTGTACCTGTGCCTGAATAAGGAGGTCTTGGGGTGAGGACCTGAGGTAGCAGCGGCATGTGGGGTGGGGGGGGAGGAGAAGCACAAGATGGAGCCCTTAGCAGGCAAGACCCCCAAAGTCCCAGGCCGTGGCTGAGAGGGGCTTTTATTTCAGATAATAAAGATTTTAAACCGGGACTGGGAAGCCTTTTTCCGTCTTGAGGGCCAGGTTTCCTTCTGGGCAATCTTTTGGGGCCTGCATCCCAGTGATGGGCATGGCCAGAGGCAAAAGGGGGATGGGCAGTGGGTGCAAGTTTTACTTGGTAAGGTCAGCTGGTTTCTACATCCACTCTTCCCTGCCCATCCAGGACAAGCAAAAGGCATTGTCAAGAGTTCAAAGACAAATTCCCAGCCAGGCTAAAAGTCTCAAGGAAGGTGTGAAGCAGGCCTGGTGAGCAGGTGGGACTTGTAGAGAGTTCCGAGGGCCACATAGAGAGTTCTGGAGAGCTCCATTTGGCCCCCTGGCCTGCATCCTTGTTTTGGACAAAACTATTAGCTCTGGGGAAAACTTGACTGCTAAGTTTTTGTTAGGGTTTTTTTTATGCTGCCTTTCAGGATATTTTATTTATTCATGGGGAGAATTTATGTTCCTCCCAGCTAGCCAAAGTCATCGCACAATATTTAAAAGGCAATTTTTACCAAGGCAAGAGAGTTAATAGCTCCCACCTCAGTTCTCTGACGTTCTGGCTGCCCCCCTACAACTTGAATCGCGGGGGGGGGGGGGAGGGCACTTTGCAAACCCGGATGTGTTTTATTATGAGGCGGTGGCAGCTCTGACCCCCCTCCCATCCCTTTTGCTGTGATAATCCTTCCTCTTCCTGCTCTGCCCACAAGGATCTTTGAACTGGAAGGAGAAGATGCTGAGGATGTGATCTACATTAACTGGCTGAACATGGTGCGTGCCGGGCTGCTGGCACTGGAGTTCTACACCCCGGAGTCCGGAACATGGCGGCAGGTGCGGTCCTGATGCTGGAATGGGTAGAGGAAAGATATCCCTGGGTGGGAAGGAGAGAGGCCTATGGCATCAGGGGGATGGCAAGTGGGTAACCTTTACCCACCTGGTAAATTTGGCCCGGAGGAAAGGTTAGTTCCCTGCCCCCTATTGTCTGTCTGGACTTGAGAGTCATTGCTTCACAGTCTCAGTTGAGAATTCCTTGTCTCCTCGCCTCTCCTTTTTTTAAAAAAAATAGATTTTATTAAAATTTTGAAAAAGGAATCCCAAAATTAATATCCACTATCGTTTTTCTCTCAAAGGCTAATCTTAATTAAAACACAGACCAGAAAAGGAGAGAAAGAGATAGGAAGAGAGAGAAAGAAAAAGAGAGAGAAAGAAAGAGGGTGGGGTGAAACAGGAAAAAAAGAACTCTATGTATAAATTTTTCAGCACACCCACTCAAAGATAAGGTAAAGGTACCCCTGCCCGTAGGGGCCAGTCTTGCCAGACTCTAGGGTTGTGCGCTCATCTCACTCTAGAGGCCGGGAGCCAGCGCTGTCCGCAGACACTTTACCTTCCCGCTAGTAAGCGGTCCCTATTTATCTACTTGCACCTGGGAATGCTTTCGAACTGCTAGGTTGGCAGGCGCTGGGACTGAGCAGCGGGAGCGCACCCCGCCGCGGGGATTCGAACCGCCGACCTTCTGATCGGCAAGTCCTAGGCACTGAGGCTTTTACCCACAGCGCCACCCGCGTCCCACTCAAAGATAACACCCAACAAATCCACTTTCTGTAAACCAACATTATATTGAGTCCTCAAACCCAAATACCATTTGGGTTTCTTTCTCACGCAAAAAGTCTCTAAGAAGTTTCCAGTCTTTAGTAAATGTTGGCAGTGACTTTTCTCTGATTAAACACGTCGACACCTCGGCTAAACCCAGTCATTTCAACAGCCATTCCTCCATTGTGGGTAATGGCGAGTCCTTCCATTTTTGTGCGTATAAAAGTCTTGCCGCTGTAATCCTACATCGAAGTAAAGCTCCTTTTTTCTAAATGGCATTGTGTTGCCTTCCTGCCACGGCAGGCCCACATGCAGGCGCGCTTTGTCATCTTGAGGGTTCTCCTGGAAGCCGGCGGGGGGCTGGTATCCCTGCAACACACCACAGGCAGAGACGGCAAACCCGATGCAGTGGTGTCCCTGGACCGCAGCAAGATCACCACAATAGGGAAACCTGCGCTGGAGCACTTTCTCCGCAAACTGCAGGTAAGGGCCAGGGAGGGAAGGACGGGCCCAGGGTCTCTCTTCCCTTAGGGGGAGAGAGAGGCTGATCCAGCAGGGTGCTGCTCTTCTGTTCCAAAGGTGCTGAAGTCCACAGCGGATGTGGCGGGTGGGCGCACCCTCTATGAGACATACTCTGCGGTGACGGACGAGAAGCCCCAGCGCTTCCTGAGCCTGCGCAAGACTGTGCTGCTGCGCAAGGAAGAGCGCAAGTTGTTTGTCCAAGCAAACACCCGCCTGGAAGGTAAGAGCAGCGGTGAGCATATCTCCTCGGTCAGTAGAGCACATCTTAAGCTCAGGGTCGTGGGTTTGAGACCCGCACTGGGAAAAAGATTCGTGCTTTGCAGGGAGTTGGACTAGATAACCCTCGGGAGTTGTTTTAAACATCCTTTTCATTTCATTATATATCATTTCCCAGTAAGCTTTATCCTTACTACAAGACCAACACATATGATGTTTAAAATAACCTTTGTAAAAACAACAACCCAGAAGCTTTTCTTTTGGGAATTATAGGGACAGAACTACCAAAAATGTATAGAAACTTTTTTATGTATGCTACTACAGTGGCAAGAATGTTACTTGCCCAAAAATGGAAAGAAGCAGAAGTCCCAGCAAAGGAAGAATGGATACAAAAACTTATGGGATAAGCAGAAATGGTGAAACTTGCCAGAAGAATAAGAAATCCAGATAACAAATCTTTTATAAAAGAACAGAAATGGTTTATTGAATATTTACAGATGAATTATAAACAGATAAAAACATTGGCAGGATTATTGTAGTAACCTTCAGTTTTATAAGAGTATATATTTAAAGAAGATGAATAAATGAACAAATTAAGTTAATTTGGATATGCAGAAGATAGTAAAAATAAATTTAAGGAACCGCAGAAAGTGGGGGAAGGAAGTAAAGTTTTGAAATGTCAAAATGATTGTAGAATTAGTGAAATGTAAAAAATTAGTGAAATGTATGAACTTGAAAAGTATGAATGAATGAATGATGCCCCTGGGGAGTCCCTTCCAACTCTACCTTTCTGTGATTCTATCCTCCTCTGGTGAGAGGTGGACCATCAAGAAGGCTGATCGCCGAAGAATTGATGCTTTTGAATTATGGTGCTGGAGGAGACTCTTGAGAGTCCCATGGACTGCAAGAAGATCAAACACATCCATTCTTAAGGAAATTAGCCCTGAGTGCTCACTGGAAGGACAGATCGTGAAGCTAAGGCTCCAATACTTTGGCCACCTCATGAGAAGAGAAGACTCCCTGGAAAAGACCCTGATGTTGGGAAAGATGGAGGGCACAAGGAGAAGGGGATGACAGAGGACGAGATGGTTGGACAGTGTTCTCAAAGCTACCAGCATGAGTCTGACCAAACTGCGGGAGGCAGTAGAAGACAGGAGTGCCTGGCGTGCTCTGGTCCATGGGGTCACGAAGAGTCGGACACGACTAAACGACTATAAACAACAACAACATCCTCCTCTGCTGGGTATTTCCTAGCTCAACTGATTCAGCTGTTAAGCGAATCTGGCTAAGGTGGCATCATAAATATTGGTTTGCTTATTTATTTTTAAAGTATCAGAATTTAAGATTAATTTAACTGTGTAGGATTAAAATCCAGGCCCACTTTTGGCCTGCACGGCCTTTCCCCCCAAACCACGCCCACCTGCCCATCAGCTGGTGTCCCTGGTGAGGTCAGCTGATGGGTGGGAGGGCAGGGTTAAATCTGGCATTGGCTGTGCATCCCATTCCCAGAAGGAGAAGATATCCTCAGCTGAAGCAGCAAGATTTAATCCCTGCTGACATGCTAATGAGCAGGGGTTAAATCCTGCTCAGTTTCAAATGCTCTTAATAGTTCCAGATGCTTTGCAACAGGAGCTGTCTGAAGGCCTTCATATGCCCAAAAGGGCAGCGGGACAAGTGGGGGTGACTGTCTACAAACAGCCCAAAGAGCTTATTGCAGTGCTTTGATGCACTTTGAAGTCCCAGCAATTGGGACGTCAAAGTGACCAGCTCCTGGTGTTGTAGTGGTACCGGGTGATTGATAGGTGGGTCCACCTGTCAAATTGGACCCACTAGGGAGTGGCGAGATAATGATACCCCTGAAAGAGCATCACCCATCTGGAATGGTCTATCTACTGACTTTGATCATTTCTCCTCCTACTACCCGCCCCTTTCCAGGTAAAGATGTCGTACTGGTGCAGTACGAAAGCAGTGCAGCGGGGCTCATCAAATCTTTCCGCGACCGTTTCCGTGAAGATGCTGAAGTCCTGGAGAAGTGTCTGTTGGAGATGGCACAGGCTGATGCCCATTTCTGGGAATCCTGAGCCCCACAAGGGCCCTGGCTTCCCCACACTCGGCTCCCTTTGCCTGCCCATCCAGGCACACCAGGCCGTTTCTGCACCTCACCCGTCTCTTTTGGAAATGAGGGGTACAAGTGAACAAGATCGCCTCTCTGAAAGCAGTCGGCCATCACCCCCCACCCCCCGGAAGGGCCTGCGGTGGCTCCAGCCCTCCTGTTGTTGCACCTAAGGGTTCAATAAACCTAGCTTTTATAAAGTGTGTGAACTTCCTTTCTGCTTTCCCCCCCGCTGTACTCCTGTCTAACTGGTGGGGACTGAACCCAGTGTGGGGAATAATGCAGTCTGATCCGGCTTCCTCAGATCTGCTGTGTTGATAGTCGGTGTTGGGGAACCTCAGGGGCAGAATGCATCCCTCTCAGCTTCTCTAAATTGGTACGTTGCACACTCTGGAGAAGTCTGGGAGCCTGTTGAGGCTGTCTTTAACCCGATGGGACTAAGAAATTAGATGTTAGCGAGCTGCTGCTTGTTTCCTCAGGATGCCACATAATGCTTAGAAGGCATTCCAAGTAGCAAATGCTGATACTGGGCAAAACAGGGCAGCTTTTGTGGAAAAATTGAGGGGTGGGGAAGCTCAGGTAGCTGTTGTGTGCTGTTGGTAGTGTTGGGGGAGGGATAAAAGCAGCAGTTGTTGGGTGGGTAAATTCCAATGAGATTTGGAAGCCAAGTAAAAATAGGAGCAAGGTATTTGGGTAGGAGAGCCGGGGGAAATTCATGTCCCCAATACGCCCCTTTTGTTTCTGATAGTACATGGGTAGATGAGTCTAAAAAGCCCGGGACACAAAAATTTCATGGCCCTATAGAAGCTATTTACCAGAAGTATTGTATTTAGTGTTAACTCTGGAAGTGTATACTCAGTTCTGACCAAACTAAGCCTCCCAAAGCAAAATATACATCAGGAGGCTTAGTATGGTCAGAATTGTGTATGCCCACAAACTGGAAAGTGTTCATAGGGAGGGCAACCAAGATGTGGTGCAGTTGAAGGAGCCGGGTATGTTTACCCTGGAGAAGAAGAGGCAAATATCTTAAGGGCTGTCACGTGGAAGATGCAGCGAGCTTGTTTTGTTCTGCTGGGGAGGGTAGGACTCAAACCAAGGGCTTCAAGTTACAACAAAGGAGATTCCGACTCAACATTGGGAAGAACTTTCTGACAGGAAAAGCTGTTCAACTGCGGAATGGACTCCTCCTAAATGTGGTGGACTCTCCTTCACTGGAGGTTTTTAAGCAGAGGCTGGATGGCCACCAGCCATGGATGAGCTAGTTGAGATTCCTGCACTGCAGGGGGTTGGACTAGATGGCCCCTCGGAGCCCCTTCTGTGCGTTTGAGGCAACGTAGCACTGGTAGTGTGTCTGGCCCAGCCCTTAGTTTTTGTCGCAAATCCTTTTCAAATTGCTCTGTGGACCGGCCAAGTCAGCCCGGAAGCTGCTTGGGTGTGTGCTTGCGTGTTAGTCTTCAACTCTCCGCAAGTCTATGAGCGCGCGGACTTCTGCTGGGAGGGGCGGGACTCCTTTTCTCGGCGCACCCATTGGCTCCCGCGGGGTTTCCATGGCGACGGATCCCCTGGCTTATCTATGGCGGCCGCGGCGCTGCCTTCGTCGTCCTCGGGAGCCGCTGGCGACGGGTAAAGCCCGGAGAGGTCGCGTTTTGGAGGGCAGCTGCTCCCCCCTTCCTCTTTTTCACTTGCCCCCCCGGCCCCTCCCCGCTTTCAGGATTCTTGCCTGCGCTGGCGAGGGAGGGGGGGAGGAGGCTGGTGCCTGCAGGTCGGACTCCTGGGTTCCCTAGAAGGAAAGTGGGTGCGCATGCGTTTGTTTTGGTTTCCATCCCACCCCCTCTGGTTGGTGACGCGTGTCTGCACTGTGACCAGTTCCTCCCCCTCTATCTCACCCCCGAGGAGGAGCCCTGTCGCAGCTGCACCACGGAGGCAGGCAGAAATCCAACAGGTGCTGCAGGTTCCCAACATCAGCCCATTTCTGTGCAGAAGAGAACTTCTTTGTCTGCTCCGTTTCTGCCCCTAAGTGCATCTGTCAAACGCACAGAGCAACCTCTTCATCTAAATAAAAAAGGTGTCAACCAGGCATAGATGAACTGCTCAAAACCCCAGTATGGCGGGTGATGAGGACATGTAGATAATATGGAAGTGAGTCTTTTGCCGCATTCGTTTTGCCTAAGGAACTGGTTTGTATTTTTCTGGCTGTGGGTAGTGACAATATTGGGGGGAAGAAGGGAGGCAAAAATTGTAGGCAAATTGCTTTTTTTTGCACGGGTGGGAGCTTTGCCCCATCAGTATCTGTTTGACTCCTGGGAGAGAAATGTTTGCTGGACATAATAGATTTTTGAACGAGAATAAACCCATCTAGTTCACAAGAACATCCTCATCCTTAATATATTTAGAACTGTGTATGACACCGTCCGCTACTTGAATGAAAGACAGGATACAAATAAACAGCACCAATCCTGGGCATGTCGACTCAGAAGTCAGTCCCATTGAGGTATTTGTGCACAGAATTGCAGACTCAAAGACTTTGAGGAGTTCTTTGCCCAGCTGCATGAGAGAGAATCACGATGAGCTGTAAGAGGGGTGCAACTTGGAATTGTATATATGAGAGAAAGACAAAGAAACAGAGTCAGGACTCCTGGGTTCTTTCAGAACACACAGATTTTTGTGGCAGAAAATCAAGACTTCTGAGTGCCTGTCACCACTCTGTGGAAGCTTCATGGTTCAGAGGGATTTAGGTCAGGTGTGAACAGAGACTCCTAGAGAATTGGCTCTCTGGGCTGAAACTGTCTGCAATATATTTCATTTTGTACATTTTTTCAACCTTTCCTTCATCCATTGCAGCATTCAAGCCAATTCCAAATGGCTGGATGCCCACTACGACCCAGTGGCCAGCCTCTACACCTTTTCCTCTTGCGTCAGTAAGTCTGAGTTCGTTTTCTCTCTCCTTAATAAGCATTGTCTCTTTCCTGTTTTGATGGGTGAATATGGCGATCATAATGTACAGTGGTTGAGACGGGCATAGTTTTGACTATCTGCTGGTTCTCCCTGGGTTTGCAGTAGGTAAAAGCATATTTTGTTTTCCGCACTGCAGCACGAGCAATGCCTACTTTGTGACAACTTGCTTTGGTGGAAGTGGTTAAGGAAGGAAGGCAAGGATAGGTCCCAGCAGACTGGAGTGGTCTTTGGTGGGCCCTCTCCTGCTACAATGTGCCTTGGTGGGTTTACCTGACAGCAGAGCTCTGAATCAGTACCAGACAACTGGGAGCTGTCATATAGATCTCCCAGAATGCTCCATAATGTAACATTGCTCTGGACCATTGTGGGAATAAGGAATGACTCAGTCTGAGAACCACTCTTTTTATAAGGCTGCATCCTCTGTCCTGGAATTTGTTGCCTCCAATAGCAGACATGTGGGGATCAGATGTGGCTTAGTAGTATAGGAAATGCTGTCTGCACATGTTCAGAGCTGTGTCTTTCTTTTTTTGTCCAATGGAAGGGAGGCATCCAGTTTCTACCCATAGAATGGCTGGACAGGGAGGCAATGGCTGACCAGTGCTGACCAGTGTCACCATTTGGATCTCTAAAAAGAAAAATTGAGGGAGTGGCCTGAGAAGCCCTAGTAGAAGTTAAGGCAAACAAAGTTGATCATCCACATTGATCAATGGGGGTTGGACTTGATGACCCTCAGGATCCCTTCCAACTCTACGGTTCTGTGGTTCTATGGCTGTATGACTGAAGCTCGTCAGAAGACACCCCATCTTCTGGGCAGTCGAGGCTAGTGAAGCACCCCTCATTCCAACATCAAGAAGCAATGGCATTGTGGATAACCGAGGTCAGCAGTGTTGATCCTCATGCCCACCAGAAGGTGCGCCATCCCCTTATGGTAATGTTGGGCTCACCATGTCACCCTTCGTTCCACCAGAGGGTGCTACACCACTGTGTGGTTGAGGAAAGTGTAGCGCCAACCATTTTGCATCCTTTCCTCACCTGCTTTTACTTCTGGATGGTGGAGATTCTTCTGTGGTCACATGGCTGATTTTAAAGCTTTCAAGGGTTGGGGGAGGTATGTTATTCTCCCACAGTGTCAATTCAAGGCATTTTGGGGTTTTTGGAGAAGTCTGTTATTTCCTTGAATTTCAGGATTCTGAGTGGGTTATTTCTTCCAAACCAGTATTCGGATTATGGAACAGGTACTACAATACAGTACTTAAATTCTCTGGTATCTACTTTGTTTGCTTTGATTTAAAGGTAAAGAAACACATGGAAAGCCTCAGGACAATAGTAGGGGTTCTCCAACAAGGGAAGTCACTCACTTCTGTTGATCTCATGAAAGCATATAGTTAATTTTCCCTATTTGAACAGCTCCAGAGAAGCTCCTTCCATTCCAGCATCCGAGTTTCTGCTAAAGCTGTGTGCCTCCCTGTTGACTTACCTGCATCTGCAGGGGACTTGCATTAACCTATATTTTCTTAACAATTCTGTTGTTTGCATCTGTCTATCTTGGGGGACAATGGAGGGGTGTGCCTCTGGGGTGAAGTCAATTGCAGGTGACTTTACTTTTGACAGGGGATGTTGCCTGGTATCCTTATAAAAATAGTAGCTTTGGGGGGGGCTCCTCTGCCCTCTCCCCTGTTTATGTGTGGGTCTTTTTAATGGGGCTGATACAGTTTCTGCTGTCTTTTCCAGCCCTGGCTGACCTGCATGGTGATGGAGACTGTAAGGTAAGGGAACTGTCGCTGTCACATCCACAAACCCTTCTCTTGTACTGCCCATATTCATCACACCTGCAAATCTGCTGCCTTTTGGGTGCCTCTTCCCTTCTTTCTCTACCTCTCCATCTGGCCTAATAGGCTTTGGTTGCATGAATACCATTTTTCTTGTGTAGATTTTGAGTGCACGTTCCTAGTCTCCTCTTTGTTCCTTTTGCCTGCTTGCTTTTAGGTTTATTGATTTAGGTTTCAGAGCCTCCAAAGGGACACACATCCTTGGGCATCATTCAAGGAGGCTCCTAGTTGTTGTTTTGCTTTCCCCCTTTCCCAGCTGGTGGTGGGCGACTTGGGCCCTACAGGACATGAGATGAAGTTGAAGGTGTACCATGGCATGGACCTCCTGAGCGAGAATGTCCTGTTGGACTTGCCCACAAGTGTGGCTGCCTTCCTGATGGAGCGTCATGAACTGTGTGTTCCTGCTGTGGGGGTGGCTGCCGGTCCCTACATCTACGTGTACAAGAACATGCGCCCCTACTTCCGCTATGCTCTGCCCCCCTTGGAAGTCAACTCCACAGAGAAGGATGTCTGGGAGCAGGCAAAGGAGGTGAGAAGGAGGAGGGAGGGCTTGGGGAAGCTGTCTGCTAGCCAGAACCCCTTTGGTCATGGGTCTTTAGGTACCTTCCCTCCCATCCTTCCTGCCTGAGGGCCAGTGTGGTTGGAGCAGAAGTGGTGAACTTCCAGCCCTCTCTGCCTGGCTCTCGGGTCTCTCTCGAGGCCGTAGCCTCCACCCCCAGACCATACCCCTTACTAGACCTGCTTTTTCACCCTTCCTGGGTGCTTTTGCAAGGCTGGAATATGTTCTATGATGCCTCTTGCTGGCCTGTATGGAGGGCAAAAAAGGGTTGTGTTGAAACTGCATGAAAATATGAAATTTGTATCCATTGCTCCATCCACTTTTGCTGCTGGCTCTGCCCACCACTGGGCCCTAGAAAGTTACTTGGGATGGAATGTGGCCCTTGGACTGGAAACAGTTTCCCATTCCTGGGTTAGAGTGTTGAACTAGGGCCTGGGAGACCAGGATTCAAATCGCACTCAGCTGTGAAGCTCATGGCTTGGGCCAGTTGTCGTCTCTCAGTCTGACCTACTTCACAAGGTTGTTGTGAGGATCAGATGTGAAGGGGGAGAACCACGTCTGCCACCCTGAGCTGCTTGGGTGAAAAGTGGGATATAAATGCAGTTGCTTAATTGGAGTGCAAATCCCTCTTGGTTTCCGATTCATCACCAGCAGTCCTTCCAGTTTCTTAAGTCTGCCTCTCTTGTAGGGAGCAGCCGTTGACTGTCCTCCTTCTCTCTTGGTAGGACAAGGTTGACCTTCTGTCAATGAAGGAGACACTGGAGATGATCCGGTAAGGAGCTCTGAAGCTGGGCAGGGCGAGACCAAGTCTTCTGAGCCATCTCTAAACATCAGGAGGATAAGCAAACAAGGCTTGGGGGTCAACTAGGGCAGTGTTTCCCAACCACTGTTCCGCGGCACACTAGTGTGCCGCGAGATGTTGCCTGGTGTACCGTGGGGAAAATTCGAAAGATTTTTTTTTTTTGTAAAAGTCAAATTAGGTCCTAATCTATCCCTCGAGCGCCTCTTGTCCGTTATTGTGACGCATGAAGCGTGTTCCCGCCCATTCCCCGCCCTCCCTTGCTTCTCTCTCTCTCTCTGTGGCGTTCTCCGCCGCTTCCTGCTGGGCATGCGCAGCTCGCCTCGCGCTTCCATTCCGGCCCCTCCTTCCCCCGACTACCCCGCCGCTCCGTTCCTTTCTCTTTCTCGCGTGTCAGAGAGCGGCGGCGCGAGCGCGGCGGTTCCCTCAGGGCTGACGGAGGGCTCGAGGAGGAGGAGGCAGGACGTGGAGGCGGAGAAAGCGGCGGTGGCCACCCCCCACCTCCGGCTCGAGGCCCGCGTAGAAAGCTGAGGGGGAGAGATAGATAGAGGTGGGCGGCGGCGGCGACGACCACGACCAACCGCCACAGTGGTTGTAGCGGTGGCAACGGCGAGCAGGGACTCCCGCTCTCTCTCCGTCGTGTCTGTCTCTCTCTCTCCCGGGCCCGTCCGTTGAGTCTCCCGCGCGCCTCGGCTACAAGATGAGCATCGAGATCCCGCTGGGTCTGACTGAGCTGCTGCAGGGCTACACGGTGGAGGTGCTGCGGCACCGGCCGCCGGACCTGCTGGCCTTCGCCGCCGAGTACTTCGCCAAGCCGCGCTCTCCTTCCTGCCTCGCTTTGCTGCCTCCTCCCCCCCACCCCCAAAGCTTGGAGGTTCCCCGGCGCCGACCCGCAGGTTTGACCCCCTTCTCACACCTGTTCGCGCTCCTTGCACGGAATGGGGCAGATGGGGAGGAACGGGGCTCGCCGCTGCCTCCGCTCGCCCTCCCCCCCTCCGCCGGCGGTCCCGCGATTCTTGGCTTTTTGGCGGTTGGCACAGAAGGAAGGCAAGGGGGAGGGGAAAAAATTGAATCTTACACTTTCGTGCGTCCCTCCCGGCGTGACGCTACGCGCTGACGTCACGGGGCTGTAATGGTGGTGTGCCTCGAGATTTTTTTCATGAAACAAGTGTGCCTTTGCCCAAAAAAGGTTGGGAAACACTGAACTAGGGGCAGGTGGGAATGGAGAGCATGCCAGGCGGAGGGGGGGGTTATTTCTTACATTGGCATGCAAAAAAATATGCTTTATAATGCGCTTTTTGGTCACCCCCACATGTCTGGGCTATGAAAGCTCCCATTTAATTGACTAGAGAAGCAGAGGCTCAGGGCGAACAAGCTTGCCTAGGGCTCTGTGGTTCAGGACTGTTCACTGTGCCACACTGGCATGAGCCACAGAAGCCCAAGGCTCTCCCTCCTGACTTGCCTGATGTGTCTCAACAGGGAAAACGCAGACAGAGAAAATACGGAGCCGCCCTTGTCAGTGCAGTCCTTGAGGTGAGTTCTTTGGTGTGGGCAGGGCTGGGAATCTCCAGGCAGGGCTGGGAAAAGCTCCTGCCAGAAATCCTGGAGAACTGCTGCCAGTCAGTGTAGTCAATACTGAGTTAGACTGGCCAGTGCTCTGACTCAGTATAAGGCAGTTTTGGATGTTCCTGTAATGCCCACTCCAGCCCAAGTTCTCTGCTTCAGGCTGATGGGAACACAGCTTTGATTGTGAGAAATGGTCTCCTTTTTTCATCCTCTGTTGAAGGCTGTCCCTCTCCCTCTCCCTCCCCCCCCCCCCCCGTGTGGGCTGGGACCCTGGGCTCCTTTCATCACCTTCCCCATCTGCTCTGCAGGTTCCTGGCCCTTGACCCTCCTGAGATGGAGTCCTTTGTGAACCAGTATAAAATGCAGCCGCTCAAGCGCCAGGTGTGTACTCTGATGTTCCATATCCACTCCTGCCCTGAACATCCCAGAAGAGGAAGAGGGTTGGGATGCTGTTTGGTTGATCCCAGGCAAATACTGCCAACTCTTCCCTGAAGCCAAGAATGGCCTTGCTTAGGTGACACATCTTTTAAAATCACAACTTGGGGCAATCAAGTAGCAAAAGGGTTAGGCACAAGGTTCCCATGCCCCCAAATGTCCCAGATTTGAAGTGCACATACAGAACCAGTTGCCCATGGCTGGGAAACATATCCTAGTCCCTTGGGGTTCACCTCTCTTGATGCATAAAGTTGCCCCTTTGCCCCTCCTTATCTTTCAGTCACTGATTACCTGCATGACTACCCTGAAGAAGAGCCTGGCAGACGAGGGCTCTATCAGCTGCCTGGTGCTTGGGACGGAGAACAGCGACATCATCATCTTGGATCCTGAGCCCTTCAGTATGCTGGTGCAGGTGAGGCCCTGGAGAAGAGTGCTCTGAAGCTCAATAGCATGCTTATTTCAAGAGGGGGAAGAGAGGGCCATTTTGTTCTCTGCCTTATGCCCTTTGAGGCTAAGCGGAAGCCGCTCGCTCTGGTGTTCCTCACAATCGCAGCAACCAGTTGCAGAATTCAAGACAATGTTGGGGGAATCGAGTATTGGAGTCGGGACTGAGGGGATCTGCTTTCAGATTTGCTCCCAACCCTGAAGTTAACTGGGCGATCTTGGACAGCCATCATATTTCAGCCTTAACCTACCACCGAGGGATGTTATGAGGATGCAAAAGGAATATTTTTACAAATTTCCTCCCTGGGAGGAAGTGTGGGATACAAATGCAATGAATGAATAAAACAATAAGCTGTTGGATTCACCATTCCCTGTAGTGGGAGCTAGACCATGAAGACGATTGGGACACTGCGCCACCAACCTTAGTCTGGCTTTTGCCAACCTCCACTTCACTGTTTCCTTACTTAGAAGTGTGGCTGCACTTGTCTGGCTCCAGTTACTGTTGCCTTGTGCCCTATCAGTTCTGGTAAGCGCCAACCTCCACTGATTGCATGGCTTCCGGTTTAAAAACGACAACAAAGAGCAGGTTTCTAGATTTTGTAGGTTTGAATGCTGTGGCTCATGTCTGTGAAATCTCAGGAGGCTGAGTTTCAGTGGCAGGGATATTGGTAACGAATGGGGGTGTCTGTTTCAACTAGGAAACCCTCAAAACTGCCCAGGGGTGACCACCCACCTGCCAATCCCATCCTGGTGATGTGACTATTAAAAATAGGTCCCTCTCGCGTCTGTCCCCTGCGAGGCAACATGCCAGGGAGTGGGGCAGTATCCGGCTTCAGCACTGTTTTCCTTTTTTAATGGCAGACAAAGGTACCAAGCGTGCCAGCCTTTCTGGACGTCACAGGACAGTACGATGTGGAATATCGGCTCATAGTGGCCTGCCGTAATGGGTGCATCTACATCCTCCGCAGGTGGGCAGAGGAGGAGCTGCTGGGGGTGTTTTGGGAGGGCAGAGAGGGCCTGATGGGTTGAAGAGGGAGGCTGACATGTTTCAGAGCAAGCTCTTAAGAATATGGCAAGGAAAAGCCCCATATCTTGTGCATCCCCCATCTTGGCACTGGAGTTGCCTGCTTTGCTGACCACAAGGAGGCCAGGCCTGGACTTGACCTGCCACTGCTGTCTTTCTCTCCCACGCAGGAACTCCAAGCGACATAAATACTGCATTGAGCTGAGTTCTCAAGCCGTGGGCTTGTCCTGGGTCCAAAAGAACATTGTGGTGGCCTGCTCCGACGAAACCCTTCAAAGCTTTACTCAGAAGGTTGTGGGGTCATGGGGTGGAGGGCAGCTTTAATTACTGGCCACAGCTTTGGCAATCTGCCTCACCTCAAACTGTCAACTGAAGGCAGCAGCTCTTAACTTGAACCTTGGCTCACTTCTGTTTTTTTTTTTTAAATATTTTTTATTGAGTTTCTTTTCTTAAAGTCATAGACACAGAATCAAGGAAAGAAAACCTTGGCTCACTTCTGGAACTCAAGGTGCATTAGAGTTAAGTGAATGGAGCCAAGGTACATTGAAGGGCATTGTGTTGTGTAAGTGTATGCATGTGGTCCCCAGGTGGTGCTATTGCTGCGCCCAATTCTGTTTTAAAGGAGGATCTTGTTAAAAGAAGGGTAATCCTAGTGGGGCGTGGGGGGCCTTAATTAGCAAGGAAATCCATTGGGGGCCAGGTCGGAGAAGCTGTTCTGTCGGGTTCCTGAATGTCTTTTTCTCGTGGCAGGGGAAGAAGCTCTGGGTGGTCCCGTTGCCAGCCACCCCCATCACTCTGAGTCTCATAGATGAGAAGTTCCAAAGCTTCCATGCTGTGCTGGTCGCCTTGGCCAATATGGAGGTGCACATATACCAGGACAAGAACCTTGTGAACATCATCCAAACGCAGGTGAGAGGCAGGAACAGGGGGTGCCCACATTCAGGGCTGAATGAGGGCATTCTGGTGGTTTGGCACAGGAGCTGGTCGCAGCGTGGGTGGGGGAGGTGTTTGTGTGTGAGACTGTATGTTTGTTTCTCTGAGCCCAGGCTGCTCTGTCTCATCCCTCACTCTAACGGGATGTGTGTTTGTCATCTGTGGGATTGAAACAGGAGAACTAGAGAACCAAGACTCCTTCAGTAAGTTCCTGGAAAACATGGCTCCTGTTGAATGTGGGTCTGGTAAGGCATTGGAACTTGCCTATGACTTGGTCACACCACTGGTCCTTCTTGCCCAGGATCCCTTTTCAAACTGGGGATCTTGAGGATTCAACCTGCATGCGAAGCAGAAACTCCCTTGGTCCAGAGAGGCACCCTTCCTTTGCAGATGGCCTCCCCTACAGTTCCCTTCTTCAGTAACAGTTCACAGGCTGTATCCTCACTCAGCCTACCTGTTCCGGACCTGCTGTGGGCCATTCCTGGCCCTTCTCAGCTCCTGAACTGAGCCCACAGGGAGAGGGAGACTGTTCTTGGCAGAGGGAGGACCCACAGGAGGTGAAGGAGAGCTGGCAGGGAGGCAACCTGGGAGGAGATGAGGTGCCCTGGGCTGGGAGGGTGGAGATGCAGTGAGAGAGCCATGAGAAGACAAAGAGCTCCCATAGGGATGTGGGAACCTGACAAAGGCCAAGTCACACCATTGGTCCATCTAGCTCAGTATTGGCTACCACTGATTGGTCGCTGCTCTCCAGGGTTTCAGGCAGAGGATATTCCCAGCCTTCCTCCTAGCTGGAGAGGCCATTGGGGATTGAATCTCAGACCTTCAGCATGAAAAGCAGGTGCTGCACTACTGGCAAAGACCAAATCAAAGAAAGGAAAGCTATACGGCCACACCAAAGACAAGCCCACCTGTCTTCCTTCTCCCTGCGAAAAGCAGCAACCCACCTTCCTCTGTTTTTCTCTGTTTCTGCTGCCAGGACGTTGTCAGCAGCATCTGCTTCGGCCGCTATGGGAGGGAAGATAACACGCTTGTCATGACCACCAAAGGTAAGAGCAGATGTTGTGCCTTGTGAAGTCAGAGCACTGAGCCCGACCTTCTGCCCTTCCCCAGGGGGCAGCCAGCAGGTAGCATTCAGGGGTAAGCTGTGCCTGAGCATAGAGGCTTCGAAATCTACAGAGCTACAGTCTGGTTGCAGCATGCAGTTGTCCCTCCTGTTATGGAGCCCAAGCTGTGAAGAACGAGTTGCAGCTGAGAATTTTGCTGAAGATGCTCATCTCTCAGGCTTTCTTGGGAGAAAGTCATGTTGGTCTAAACTTGCTGGAGTGGGTTGTATCGAACAGGGGTGGAGAGCCTATCAAGTGAAGGCACTTCCCTGTCCTACTTGACTCCTTGCCCATCTGTCATTTCTCCCCCTTCTCTCTCTCTCTTTTAATTATTTATAGTTTTCAGATTTATACGGTTCACTGATTATACAATCATTTTGACATTTCAAAACTTGACTTCCTTCCCCCACTTTCTGCAGTTCCTTAACTTTATTTTTAATATCTTCTACATATCCAAATTAGCTTAATTTGTTCATTTATTCATCTTCTTTAAATATATACTCTTATGAAACTGCAGGTTATTACAAGAATCCTGCCAATGTTTTTATCTGCTTACAATTTATCTGTAAATATTCAATAAACCATTTCCATTATTTTATAAAAAGTTTGTTATCTTGATTTCTTATCCTTCCAGTAAGTTTAGCTATTTCTGCATATTCCATAAGTTTTTGTATCCATTCTTCCTTTGCTGGGACGTCTTCTTCTTCTTTCCATTTTTGGGCAAGTAGCATTCTTGCCGCTGTAGTTGCATACATGAGTTTCTGCTCTTCTCCTAGGCGGGGGCCTGATCATCAAGATCCTAAAACGCACTGCCACGTTTGACAAGCGGGATGCGGTTGTCGGAGCCCCTGTCGCCCAGAGCATCAAGCTCAACGTGCCCAAGAAGACAAAGCTGTATGTGGACCAGACGCTACGGGAGCGGGAGAGTGGCGTGGGTGAGTCGCATGAGCAGTGTGTCTCGGAGCATGGCAGCCTCTCTTACAGGCACACAACATCCCAGCCAGATGCAAACTCCTAGCTCCTTCCTCTATGGTCTCTGGATCAGAGAGAAGAGAAGAGTTTTGGATTTGATATCCCGCCTTTCACTCCCCTTCAGGAGTCTCAAAGCGGCTAACATTCTCCTTTCCCTTCCTCCCCCACAACAAACACTCTGTGAGGTGAGTGGGGCTGAGAGACTTCAGAGAAGTGTGACTGGCCCAAGGTCACCCAGCAGCTGCATGTGGAGGAGGGGAGACGCGAACCCGGTTCCCCAGATTACGTGACCACCGCTCTTAACCACTACACCACACTGGCTCAGGAAACATTTCCTCTTTACACATGTAGAGGCTTTAGGAATCTCTCTTTGAATAAACCTTAAAAATGGCTAGTTGGTTGTTTTTTTTACCTTTTTAATATAATAATTTATTGATTTTCCAAAAATAACAATTAAAAAAAACCAGAAAAAATCATAACCAAATTAAACCATGAATTTTGATCGACTTCCCTCCACTCCCCCTCTTGGTTCCATTACACTGTACTTGTTTATGCACATCCATAAAACCTTATATACTTAACAATCCAATGTTAAAACCTTCTTCATCTTATTACAGGTGACTTTTAAAAGTTATACTAATGTAAAAATCTGTACACAAAGCTTTAAAAATATGCTTTAAACAATTGCCCTTTTTTGTAATGATTTGTCCTGCATAGTTTAATAATTTATTTTGCCAATCTTCATCTTTATCTTCTTCTTTATGTTCTTTGGCTGAGGCTTCTTCCTTCCATAGGGGCTGGCTGGTCTTGGCCTGGAGTTCAATCTCGCGTATCGGAACAAAGTATTTCGTTCAAACAATTCATCAAGTCCTGTACATCTCAATACCATAACTGTGTTTGATCATATTTTTCCACAGTTGCAGCATAAGAACCCCTGAGAATTCTGCTAAACACAAAAGTCCCTGTTCATATTTTGTGTCTATGAATACAAACTGGTGGGACGCGGGTGGCGCTGTGGGTTAAACCACAGAGCCTAGGACTTGGCTGATCAGAAGGTCGGCGGTTTGAATCCCCGCGACGGGGTGAGCTCCCGTTGCTCGGTCCCAGCTCCTGCCAACCTAGCAGTTCGAAAGCACATCAAAGTGCAAGTAGATAAATAGGTACCGCTCCGGCGGGAAGGTAAATGGCGTTTCCGTGTGCTGCTCTGGTTCGACAGAAGCAGCTTAGTCATGCTGGCTGCCACATGACCCGGAAACTGTCTGCGGACAAACGCCGGCTCCCTCGGCCTATAGAGCGAGATGAGCACCGCAACCCCAGAGTCGGTCACGACTGGACCTAATGGTCAGGGGTCCCTTTACCTTTACCTTATACAAACTGGTGCAGGAAGACCTTTATGTGGAGCGTGGTTTGTGGATGATCTCAGCCAGGAAAGAGATGCTCAGAATTGATTCTAGGACCTAAGTGCTCTAGCACAACAGACCCCCTAATTTCTGCAGGCAGAGGGTGTTTTGAGGATGGCACAAGGGAAGGTCTCATTTCTCTCCTCCCTCCTCCCTGTTTCACTTTGCTTCCTTCCCATTCCCCGGCCTCGCCCAGCCATGCACCGGGTGTTTCAGACGGACCTGAGCCGCATCCGACTCATGGCGGCCCGAGCCTACGCCCAAGCGCTTCAGTGCAACATGACGCCTGTGTCTGAGTCGGCGCAGGAGCAGCTGAAGATGAACGCTGTGGTGAGGAGGAAGGGGGAGGGGGAAATGAATACAGGATTGGTCTGAATCGAGGCGGGCTTCCTTAAAAATGGCGCCAATCCCTGGAAAAGAGAAGACAGCTGGAGGGGTGGACCCCAGGATGGGGTGAAGGGAGGAAAGGAAATAGTGCGTTAAATCAGAGGATGGTGCAAGAAAAAAGGTGGGCTGCTTTTTAAAAAAGGAGTAAATTGGTCCCAGTCAGGGAAGCGTGGATAACCAAGATGATGGACTGTGCCGAAATGGCGAAGATGACAGTGAAGATCAGACACCCAAGATGAGGAAAAATTCAGTAAAGAATGGGGGGGGGCAGGGATTATAGAGCATCTTAAAGACCACTGTAAATATTTAAAAACGCTAGCAGGATTGTTATAACGCTTATAATGAAACAAAATTAAAGTTCTAAAAAAGAGATAAAATGGATTGGGAAAATGTGATTAGATGCAATAGAAAGAATAATTAAAAATGGGAAACTAGGGGAGGGGTGGGGAGTCCAGGGATTCAAGTAATCTCAAATGGTGTAAAAATGGGAAATGATTTAAATGTATAAGAATTTGGTTAAAAATGAAAATAAAATAGTTAAAAATAAATAAATAAATGGAGTAAATTAGGAATTCTTGAGAAGGGATGGGCTTTGCTTGAGCTGTTGTATCCAACTAAGTCATGCTCACAGTAGACTCACTGAACTCAATAAACTGGAGTAGCTCAAGTTCATTGGCGTCAGTGGGCCTCATCTGATTTTGGGTCCCTCTGGATTACCTGTTTATTGAGAATTCATCCTTATCTTCTTGCACAGACCTTGGGAGGAGGTTTGATTATATCTGGTCATTAATGAGCATTCATTCTGATTTACTTGCAGGAATGTTTATACCTCTTCCCATTAATCATTTGTTCATCCCATATTTTGTATTTCCCTATCACTTTCCAAACCGTAAAATGTCCAGTTCTTTTTTTTAAAGTGGATTTGTTGTGCTAGGGCTGTGCAAACCTAAAGATCCCATGTGCTTTCCCCTGCAAAATAGTGAAAGTCCGGAGGCAACCTTTGGGTTGGATATTACCCAGAGTCCCCTCTTGATGAAATGTTGAGACATTGCTGAGACACTCCCCCCCCCATCCTCATTCCCCTTTGTCTCACACACTCATTCCCATAATGCACTTCTCTCCCTTCTGCAGGTCCAGGGCATGGGCCCTACCTTCAAGTTGACCCTTAACCTCCAGAACATGTCAGATACCCGTGCAGTCGCCAACCTTCTCATCAGCTTCCTGTATGATGAAAAACTCTACTCCATAGAGCATCCTTTCTTTAAGGTAATTCCATCCTTCTCCTAAGTCGGATCTCCCCTGACTCCCTCTCCTAAATGTTTTGCACAGGCCCCCTGTATAACCAGTCCAGCGGCCTTCTCAGAGTAGAGTTGTCATGCGTCTGGAATTTCCGGGACATAGCTGGGATTAGGCAGTCGGAAGCAGTGTCCGGGCGGGAAACACTAAGATGTCCTTGAAAATCCAGACATGTGGCAACCCATGTCAGAAGTGTAGGTTATCCCTGTTTAGGGAAGCTTTTAATATTTGATGAATCATTGTATTTTAATTCTGCTGGAAGCCACCCAGAGCGGCTGTTGAAAGCCAGCCAGATGGGTGGGGTAGAAATAATAAATTTATTATTATTATTATTATTATTATTATTATTATGGATTTCCTTACAAATAGCTCAAAAACTTTTTTTATTGAGATTTTGCAAAAATAGCTCAACAACTTTGGTCAAAAACCCTAACTCAGGCTCAGCTGGAGTTACAGATTTGCCCCTTGCTACACGCCTCCCTCCTTGGGCTCTTAGCCCTCTTCCCCAACACGCTGCTTGCCATAAGAATTTCCTGCATTTTTCTTGCCTCCCTGCAGACTCCCATGTTGGTTCCAGGATTGAATTACCCTCTGGCCACCTTTGTGGAGTGTCTGAGTGAACAAGGGACCTCGGATATTATTAAGGTTAGTGTTCCTGCTTTGATTCCCCACCCCACTCCTGACAGGCCTGCCCCTTGACTTCCCATGCCATTGATTTCCCAGTTGTTTCAGTCTTGGGAGGCTTGCCTGTCAAAAGAAAAAGCCTGCCTTCCCTGTGCCTTGTTCCCAGTTTGTATGCTGACTTGCAGTCCAAGATGGCCGCTGTGTTGGCATGCCGACCACAGGCCCTACCTCCTCTCATCTCCTTCGTGTTGCAGGTGTTTGTGTTGCACGAGGGGGAGCCTGAACCACTGCTGACGGCGCACATCAACATGCCTGTCAGCGAAGGCCTGGCAGCCGTGTGAGCTCAAGGTCGAGTGTGAGCTCAGGGTCGAGCGGAGGAGAGGAAAAGGGCCAACCCACTTGTACTCTTCTCTCTGGGCCGTGTGCCTCAGCAGTAGCATAGACTTTACCTCCATCAGTTCTAGGAAGGGCCACCTGGAGAGGAGCACCACCCTAGGATAGCCGGCGTCATTTGCGATGGAGGTATGCGGAGTTCCTCCTCACACTGAGGAAGAGCCCACATCCAGGGGCTGCCACAGGATTAGCCGCAGCTCGTCTTCTGGGCCCAGAAGTGGAGAGGTGGAACAGCAAATGAAGTCCAGTGGTTCAAGAGCCCAATAAATTTTATTTATTCTTATGTTTGACTTTGGGGCATGTATCTGGGTGAAGGTGTTTGGAGCATTGGAGAAGGATGTACAGTCATACCTCGGAATGAATACGCTTCAGGTTGAGCATTTTCAGGTTGTGCTCCGCGGTGACCCAGAAGTAACAGAACGTGTTACTTCCGGGTTTTGCCACTTGCACATGCGCAGACGCTCAAAATGATATTCCACGTGCATGCATGGAAGTGGCGAAACGCGACACGCACAGTCACATATTACGTTCGCTTCAGGATGCGAACGGGGCTCCAGAACAGATCCCATTCGAATCCAGAGGTACCACTGTACAGAAAAGATCAGGGGGCTTGAGCACCTCTGCTATGATTGGAAGTCAAAATTTGTTGGACTTTTTTTCTTTAGAGAAGAGGGATATGGCCATTGATTGATTGATTGATTGAATTTATATACCGCCCTATACCCAGAGGTCTCAGGGCAGCTCACAGAACAAAATCAAAATACAAAACCACAAAATATATAATTAAAGTAAAAGCAACATCCCAGTAACCCCTTTTGAGCATAAGGGTGCGGGGGGAGAGATGAAGGCAGAACCCCTGTGCGGTTGTTTCCAGGTTTGAATGAGTCCTCAGTGGGCTCTCCTTCTTCCCCAGAGCTCCCTTCTCCTGCTTATGGCTATTCCTGGCTAGAGCAATAGATGGTATCAGGCCATTATTTAAGATTTCGGACAGTGCCCTCACAATGCCTGATGCTTCCACTGCTCTGGAGCATAGTGGGAAATATAGATTCACATGCAGCAGCCACTTGGCCCAGGACAAGCATCAGCTCCACAAAGCCCTCCACTCCCAATGGTTTCCCAAGACATTTGCATGCTGACACTGGGACCTGAATTCATGTCACATGTGGAACTGGGCTGCCCATCTATTAGGTTCTCTGTTTTGAGACGTGGGCTGGGGGAGAATTTAATTCCACTCAAACTGAAATGTAAATCTTCCCAATCCACAGTGATGCACAGTGTGGAGGGAGTAGATGGAGAGAAGTTTTTCTCCCTCTCATAATGCTGTAACATGGGGTTATCCAGCGAAGCTGAAGGGGAGAGGGGGAGGCCAGACAACAAGAAGTCCTTCTTCACCTTCGACCTATCTTTTGGGTTCTGGGGTGCTGCAGACGAGGAGCAAGAGCCCTCAAGGTCTGAACCAAAGTTTGGTTTCAGGAAGCCACAGTCATCTCGGGAGCAGGTTCCCTCCTGTGAAAGCAGATTTCCTCATATGACTTCTGATATCTTGTGTATCCCTGCTGAAATCCAAGAAAGCCTTTGTGACCCTTTTCGTTTTGTTTTATTTGAAGTCCTGCGAGTCAGTATCAGGGCTCATTATTTGCTCCACAGATATCTATGGTTGTCTTTTTATTTGGCATACTCCCTGTTCCGAGTTACTTGTGTTTTCTGTTGGACTAAACTGGAATGTAGAAGATAAGAATGAAAAAGACACTCCACGTGGCATAAAACATAGGAGGAGATAGGCATGAAAGAACATGAATACTCTCTATGTTGGGCTTCTCAAGGCTGAGGCTGGTGATTTCTGCTCTAGATAACAGCACAGCTGGTGACTATTATCCTTCTTTATAACATAAACACCAACATGAGAATTTAATTCTCAGGTTGTCTGGGGCAGGTCACGAAGTAGAAGAGATTGCTTTGAATCAATGCATAGTTCACACCAAAGCTTCTTTATATTTAGATGGAATTTTGAATATATTTTGTCTGTCTCCAGATTTCACTTCCCTTTTGTTTTTCCAATTCTGTTATTCTGTGATCATATTGTGGTTTGTTGTACCATCTCATACAACACTGTTGAGAACATAAACTTTGGGTCATTCTCCTTTGAGTTTTACATTGGGCTAAGTTGGCTTTAAAATCCTTTCCAAGTTTCAGAAGCTAGCCTGGAGGAGCATAGGAAGCTGCCTTATACTGAGACAGACCATTGGTCCATCTAACTCAGTACTGCCTGCACTGACTGGCAGCAGCTCTCCAGGGTTTCAGACAGGGAGTCTCTCCCAGCCCTACCCGGAGATGGCGGGGATTGAACCTGGGACCTTCTGCATGCAAAGCAGAATGCACTGCAAGCACCGTATAGATCGGTAGTTCCCAAACTTTTGTGGGCCACTGACCCCTTGGTTGCATAAACTCATTGCAGGTGCCCCCTACCGTACCTGCCAAAAAGCATTTCTTCAAAATGACTGTTTGCACGACTCATTAAGGAAGACAATAACCAAACAGTAACAATGAATTACAGTGTTTTTTCAAAAGCCAGCTAAAACCATCTTGTTTCATGAGAAGTCATTTAGACCTCCAGTGCCTCCTTGCCACCCCCTTGCCTGTTAGCACCCCCTTGGTAATCCCACTGCCCCCTTTAGGAACCATCGGTTTAGACCTTTCCTTATAGGGTCTCCTCTTCTAACTCTTTTTCAACCAAGCTTTGCATCGCCTCTTTTGTGGTTCTCTCTGTACTATTTTGAAGGGCTCATCTTTCCACCCTGTCTGCTGGGGGGAAGGAAGCAGGCGGTCAGCTCCTCGAGCCGCAAGGACAGCCTGCCTCTGTTTCTCCATCTGTGTGGTTTTTCTTTTATTTGCACCTTTTGAACACAGAGGTGTGAAGAAGCAAGTTCCATACCTAACCACACTCTCCACCAGCCACCCTCTTTATGAGAAGGTGCTAAGCTGCTCAGGAAGAGGCACCTTTTCTAAACTTCCCTGACCGTTTTAACATGAACACCTGCTTTTATTTTCTCATCTGACTGCAGTTGCCACCAGGGCCAGGTCCTGAGGCTGGCAAGGCTGGGCATTCACCTTAACACTGCATTTACATGTGTTCATGGCACATGTGCACCACTGCAAACCCAGTAATGGCATGAAAAGGGGCAAAAAAGAGTGCAAAAACAGCACCTAGCAATCCCACGAGCCTTTGCATTGACTTTGAGGCCTGTGGACAGTTGGAGCAAGGAGGTTTGGAGGGAATGAATATGGCAATTGCAGGCTTTCTCAGTGGTGCTCCATACAATAATCATAAATTTATTATGTATACCCCGCCCATCTGACTGAGTTGCCCTAGCCACTCTGGGCAGCTTCCGACACATATAAAAACATAACGAAACGTCAAACATTACAAACTTCCCAGTACAGTGCTGCCTTCAGATGTCTTCTAAAAGTTGTGTAGTTCTTTACTTCCTTCACATCTGGTGTGAGGGTGTTCCACAGGGAGGGTGCCACTGCCGAGAAGGCCCTCTGCAATTTTACTTAAACGTGCAGTGCCTCCAAATGGCTGTTTTATCATTTCCACTTTGCTCCAAGAGTCCAAGAAGAGTGGGTGCAGTTTCATTCAGAGACAGGGAGCATTTGTCTTTCCAGGTGTAGCTGGACTCCAACTCCCATCAGCCTAGCCCAGGGATGATAGGAGTTGTAGTCCAGCAACAAGGTTTTCCCTTTCCTGCACCCGCCCAATAGAATTCTCAAGTTGTGCGGGAGAGAGAGGCGGTTGCATGCACCCCATCAAGCTCCAGTCATTTGAAATGTTTGGAAACATTTCAGTGGAAAGTTGTCCAAATGAATGCATAAGCAGCCTGAAAATTCATTTGCACTGTGGACTGGGCAATGAGTTTTTGCTAAAGCAGCTGGTGCAGTGCATTCCTCTGCTGCACAATTTTAATATTTGCCTGTGCACTATTAGACACAACATTGGTTAGAGCCCAGGAATCCCAATAAAACAGCCCCCTCTTAAATCTGTTGCGAAAATAGAAGCGCTTAGAGACATTATGTTTCCCGAGTCTACTGGTTTATTGAGCAAGCATCTGCAGCCTCTTTCATCAGATGCACAAAGAGTGGGATTTACATAGAAGTCCTCTCTGGATGGAAGACAGAGGTGGGGGGGGCTGCAAATGGTAGTCTACTCTGCAAAGAAGAAGAGTTTGGATTTGATATCCTGCTTTATCACTACCCGAAGGAGTCTCAAAGCGGCTAACATTCTCCTTTCCCTTCCTCCCCCACAACAAACACTGTGAGGTGAGTGGGGCTGAGAGACTTCAGAGAAGTGTGACTGGCCCAAGGTCACCCAGCAGCTGCATGTGGAGGAGCGGAGACTCGAACCCGGCTCCCCAGATTACAAGTCTATCGCTCTTAACCACTACACCACACTGGCTCGCAAAGACCAAATTCACATTGTCTCGGCCACTTTTGCCTCTGGAACTGCTCACCAGTGGCTTGTGGCCCCCTGATATCTGCAAAGAAAGGAGGGCGGCCCTTGAACTGGGAAAAAAGTTTCCCCACTCTGATGGATGGGGAGAAATTGCATTCCATCTACTCTCTTAATCTGCACTTTCTGAAACATTACATGATTCAAAACACAGCCATCCTTCAAAATTCACACATCTCCAAAGCCACAGTGCAGTTCTTTGGCCAAGTAACGTTTACAGAAATGCACATGCTAATTTTAGGTGAACAATCAACATATCAACACACCCACACACACCCCGGAATGAATGATATTTTAGGGAAGTGCTTTGCGAAAATGTGCCATATTAGGCAAAATCTCATAGACATATGTATATTTTTGGGAATGCACTACGATGTTGATGGATTTTGATGTAGCCTTTGAAAAGAAAAAACCAAACTGATGTGAGCTGAAGCGAAGGTTGTGGAAAGATGAGAAAATGACATTGACAAGCTGCCCCACTCCTGGTAATACGCACTGGGGTTCTCAGCTCACTCTCCAGCAGGGCATCTGTGTTTTCAAGAGCAGCGGGGGGGGGGGAGATTTGTGGGAAAGGGTCTTATTTTATGGTATGACCTTTGCAACTGTTAAAGGCATTACAGATGTTGAGGGCAGGGAGTGGCAACCCCAAGCGACATGAGACGGCAGAAAAGAAACCAACTTCATGCACAGAGAGAGCGAAAGGTAACATGAAATACCAGAAACGGCTCATGACGTTTGCGTGTGAAATATGAATGCAAGGGATAATCAAAACAGAAACTGCATTTGCTGGAAGCTGAAACTCTTAACGCAGGCCCATTTCTGTAATGCCCCATAAAGAAAGAAGAGTGAAACATACACACAGCCCACTATTTTCTGAATCACTACCTTAAAACCTGCCAACATGGGGAAATTCAGTGCATTTCAGGTCCCATCTGCAATATGAATTTAAAGCAGGAATGTACCACTTTAAATAGTCATGGCTCCCCCCCCCCGGAATTCTGGGAGCTGTAGTTTGTTAAGGGTATTCAGGCCCCTATCCCCCCTCCGAGCTACAATTTCCAGTGATCCATGGCAAGAGGGTCTGATTGTTAACCTACTCTGAGAATTGTAGCTCCATGAGTGGAATGGGGGGGGGGGTCTTCCTAACAACTCTCAGCACCTTTTACCAACTACAACTCCCATAATTCTTTGGGCGATAACGTGATTGTTTAAAGTGGTATAATACTGCTTTAAAAGTATAGTGCAGATGGGGCCACAGTCTTCATTAAAAAAAAAATATTATATCCCATAATTGTAAGAATAGACTGTAAAAAACATTTGGGGATACAAGATTGCAAGCAAATTCTATGAATTAGATGAAGGGTAGAAAAACGGAATTGTCTGGGGGAAATGCAATTACTTCCTCCCTCCCTCTGCATGTGTTTGTTTTAAATTATGCTTCTATTTCTCCCTTCTCATCCCCATGCAAGAAGGAGACAAACACAGTTCTCTACCCTCCCCTTTTATCTTTCTCTGCGGGGTAGTTTAGGCTGAGAGTGTTCCACTGGCCCACGGTCACTCTGAGCTTCATAGCAATTTAAACAATTCAGCTCTGTTTGCATTTGAACAAGAAAACAACCTGATTTTCACCTTCAAAACATCATGCCAAAGGGAATCCTTCAGTCAAGAGTTTTCTGAAATTTCAACCAATGCCTACCAAATTGCTTATAACAGAGGAAAGTAAGAATGCATCCGGTGGGGGGGGGGGGCGGGAAACATAATTGAGGATAATTGCTTGCAAAGGTGGAAATATATTGGGGCGAATTCTGACTAATTTAACAAGTTCTTTTTTATGTCAAATCATTGCAGAAATGTGGAGAGCTAAATTAAGTTTGAAAAAATCAGAAACAGAGAAACCCAAAATAGACGGATATATCCCTCCCCAGTCCCAACATTTCAGCCACCCCACTGGGTCTTGGTCCCCAATTCTTCAGTATATATTTGTCCCCTTAGGGCAAATTAACCTCATTTCAAATGTCATCTGCAAGCAATCTGTTCAGAGACCTATGTGAAGAGCAGCCTGTTCTCCCCCCACTAGAGGCCAGAAAGAGAGAGAAGCAGTTTGGTCCTATCCCATTTTGGCTCTCACCCGGGCCATGACTCACAAAGGCTATAAATTGAGGCAATAGATGTACCTTTCCCTGTTTATCTGTTTGTTTTGTAACACACACAGAAAAAAACTTTAATAAACATGAATACTATGAAACTAATGAAGCTTAAGCTTCAGGGCTCCTAATCCCAAAGGGGCCCCAGAAGCGACTTTTGTTCACATTGCTTTAAACAATTGCTTTAAGAAGTGCATTCTGTATGCATATAACATTTTCCTAATTTCCCCTTATTTTCATCACTGCAATAACTCAAAATCAATAAGGCATAACAATTTTTTTATTCACACCAGTGATTTTGATAGGTTAGATAATCCTGTACAAGAATTTTAATCAAAATCTGAGATGTAGTAGCAAATTTTGTTTATATTAAAATGTGCTGATCTGTCATGGAACAACCCCATTGAAGAAGATAACAGCAAGGATGCTTCTTGCCCAGAGATAGAAAGAAGAAGAAGTACCGCCCAGAGAAGAGTGGCAGATCAAGCTGATGAA